CCGCCGAGGAGGCCGCCGAGGAGGTTATCGTCGCCGAGGCTGGACCCGAGACTAATGATTTGGTGGCGGCTGAGTCTACATCGCGAAGAAAGCGTGTACTTATAGCCCCTCCGTCATCACGAAGAGCTCCAAAAGCGTCCTCTCGCCAAAAAGCAACGACAACGCAGAGGAAGCGAAAGAAGGATCCGCCGCATACGATCCGGCTCCGAAGTACTCTGCCTTCGTCGATGCCACCGTTTCGACCAGACTCGACCCCAGTTAACCCAACCCCTCGTCAAACCACTCGATTTGCGGACGATACGCCTACGGCCCCTCGCCATAGCGCTGATGATACGTTTATGTCGTTCCACGATGTATTTGAAGAGGAGGACGATATGGGTAACGAGGAACCAACTCTGCTACAAATCCAGGTTACCCGTGGCCCAGCGCTCAAGGGTAACGGTTTACCTGTTCTCGATCTAACCATCGAGAGCATCGCGTATAACAGATTCAGTATTGCTCCTGTATTAGATGCGAATAGTAGAGACTGGGAGGCAGACAGCGGCGCCCAACTTGAGGCAGAAGTGGCTCACTCGTATATTGTGAAGAAGGCCAATATCGCTGTTGTCGTTGCTTGGAGGAAGCCCACCAACGCATCTAAACCAACACCAATCTTCACTCGGGTCTATCCGTCTACTGGAGGGGTCACTTGGCCAAGTATTCCATGGGTTGATATTGTCCCCTCTCTTGAACAAGCTGAAGAGAGGGGTGAAGTCCACCTCACCGTCAAGTGGCAATACAGCGCCGTACCAATCTCTGGTGGTATAGTGACTGGCGTACGAACGCCTCGAAAAGGTGGCCGAGCAGGCGTTTCAGCCGGCATGCAAGAGGCGATCGATCGTGAGGCTAACGATCCTGCAAACGTCGAGCGTCGGAAGGAGGGTATGCACAGACAACTTCTCCGTACGCACATCTGCCCAGAGTACCAGAGATGTAAGAATAGTTCGGGCGACGAGAAGTTCAACTGGTGCTATATACTAGGCCAGAAGCACTACAAGATCAAATCTCACCATATAGAGAAGTGGGCGAAGGCTATTATGACTGGACAGGCTGGCGTTGACAATATGGAACCACCTAAAGAACTGCTTGGTGAGATTCTTCACGACCAGTTTATAGAGGATCAGAAACGCCAGGGCAAGAGAAGTAAGAATATCGTGGAGGTTGATGATAACCAGGAGACGACAGTGATGACGGAAGAGAAGGCTGAAAATGCCGCACTTCCATCATCAGGGTCAAGATCTGGCCTAACCAACGCCAACAGCAACGCCATCGTCAATATATACGGCAACGCGGGGGCGCCAGATCGTCATCTTCAATATCCTAACCCATACGTACAGCTGCCGCCGCCGGCGCCGCCGCCGCCGGCATATTGGCCATATGCGAACATCTCACAGTATTCGTTGCCAACTCTTCCGCCATTGAACCTTCCAAGCACTCGTCAACCAAGTATCGCACTCCCGATTCGTTCGTCCTCGCCAGTGGTACCGGATTCGCCTCGAAAAGCTCTAGATCAAGTGGCCAGCTTCATCAAGTGGTTTATATCCGTCCGCGGCAAGCGATATAACGTCGACGAAGGGTTCAGAAAGAAGCTACAGAAACTGCGATCAGTAGACAGTAGCTTGCGGGCAATTCGCAAGTTACCAGATATTTGGTTTACTGAACAGGGTTTTACTCAAGATCTTACCGAAGATGTCAGGAACTCGATCAAATCCTTCATAGACAACAGCGCCTACTACGGAGGGCAGTCTGACGCCCTCTCCGACGTGGTATCTCACTCTGAACTTCATTCAAACCATCGAGAGTCAGAAGGAGATGTTTATACAAGAATATACGCTGGATTGCCAGGAGGGACGGCGGCGGCGCCAGTTGAAAACTCTGCGGCGCTAGTTTCAGGCGAGTTGGGGTCATCCCGACATATCGACGCCCTAGTGCCACGTCAATCCATCGAGCAAGAGATCCGTGGTACGCCAGTTGAAGTTGGTCGACGTGGTGAGTGTATATAGAGCTGTTTACTGTCGAATATGGCTAACTTTGTAGGCGTTTCGGAACTCTTTGGTTTCGTTTCGTCACCACTGCTGTCAGCGTCGCAGATGCTGCCCACGCAGTTACAGATCGAACAAGACGAAATCGAGCAAGGCGATGAGGACAATCAGATTGAAATCTCGAGTGATACGTCGTCAACAGAGACGTATTACTCGGAGGAGGATAACGAAGAAGAGTGATACAGCAAGAGTGGTGTGAAGTTTGACTGTATGCGCGATTTTTTTGCATGACGTGTTCAACCACGGAAAAGTCTACCCATAGCCGTAGATTCAACACTGCCGCTCTATACGTATAAAAGCAATAGAATTACTGTTATTTTGGATCTGCAAACAATACACTTCGGTCCATCCCGATACTGGTTAGGGGCAGTTGAAGTCTCTGACTATGGTTGAAGTCTCTGATCGTGATGACGTGTCATCATCACAAATCATCGTCACAAGCATCAACAACGCGTTTCAGCCGTTATACAGGCAAAATTGATATGTATACGTAGCTACCGACGAAAACAATGGACGACGGTATATTTTTTGTGTTCTGGTGCGCTTGTGGCTAACCTTTTGGCAATCTTGTTGGCTACAATCATGGATTTGATGATTGACCATCATATGACGACACGATTAAGATCTATTGCGCGCGAACGCACGATGAAAATTTGGATTGCTTGCTGATGTTCAATATTGGCAGCAAATCCTCCCTTTTATAGTTCGATATCGTCAAATATATGCTCTGTCCCATCAAAGTTGACGAACGAATGGCGGAAATGGCCCTCGATCTGGGGTAGACGATACCCAATCTCCATAGCGCAGTCACGTAGATATTCCATGAAATCCCGAGTGTCATTCTCATCGTTGTTCCACTTCGAATACGTCTTCCTGATGTATCGCTTTAGATCGCCGAAGTACTCTTCGATGGGGTTGAAGTCTGGTGAATACGGAGGCAGAAACTCGAGATGGACACCTGATACCCGGCATAAACCCTCGATTTCAGGTATACGATGGCAGGAGAGGTTATCCATAACGATGACAGAGTTTGGCTCTGGAAAACGCCCACATTTCGGGATAAGGCACTCCTGTAGCCAACGAAAGAACCCATCGCCGTCAGTCGTACCATAATACGTAGTCAAGTGTAGGATACCGCTCAACGTGAGGGCTGGCAGGATCTGTACGCGAGAGTTCTGAAACCGATCAATCTCTGCAGTTCGAAACGCAGCAAGCCCTTTCGGCGCCCATCCAGTCCTCCGTATCCCAGTATCCTTATTGACGCCGGATTCGTCGACGAATACCAGCTGGTCGGGGCGATATCGTCGTATACGGTACAAGTACTCGTATCGTAGTTCGTCACTTCGCTGAGCAGCAATAATCTTGGACTTCTTGTTCGTCCAGCCAGCTGAGTTTAACTGTCGACTGATTGCAGAACGACTGATCTGGATCTCGAAGGCTTCAAATAGGAAATCTTGCATCTCTTCAAGAGATAGATCGCTGCGGTACTGCAGTAGTTCAAGAAGCTCTGTACGATGCCATATTTCCATCTTTTGTCGACTCTGGCGGCACCTCTTATATCTCTGCACTTCGCCAGTGATATTACGTCGTGATCTATGTCGTCGAATCGTTCGTTCGGTACAGCCAACGATACTTGCCAGCTCGTGGGTCTTTTGGTCTTCGAATGGCAGTATCATCGCGATCGTCGATAGCTGTAGATTCGATATTCTGGGCGCCATTGTATCGTCGTCGTCGCCCGGCGTCTTTCTCGATGTATCTGATATAATAAACCACGGACATGTACTGACCAGCGGCAAACTGTAAGTAACAGGGCACAATCTATACAGCAGTAGACTCTTGCTCAATATCGTGAACAAGCTGAGCTATCAGGAGAGTCATTAATCCTGTTGACTGCCAAAGCATTTGCTCTGAAGAACCGTATCAAGCCCCTTGGTATGCTTATATATTACTCAGAGCCATACAAACCGTATGCTGAGTAGATATATAAAGTCATACAGCAGGTCTCTTCTTCTGTTCCTCAGCAAATGTCATCTTGATCTCTCATGACGAAAATAGACCTTTTGTTGGTCGAATGGTATGGGGATGAGGTGACTAGCTGGGTTGGCAATGCCTCGATGGGTAGATTGACTGCTACGGAAGCATGAAATACACACCTTATGTCTCTATCGTGTAGTTATACGTTTGAATACTACTGGGACTATAGTGATTGACGGCAATTGAGGTGTTGGTGATGACTTTGACGCGTTTTGCGTGCGATGCAGAGAAATGCGCGTCACAGCGTAAAATTGGCTTTTTTTCATGTTTTTGCATAAGCGGGGAAAAAAAAGGGGGGCGGACGCTGTCAACGCAACGGAGTGTATGGCGAAGATGTCTGCGTACAAATTGCAGTGAGCATTTCTTTGGTCCAACGGTGAAGGCGAGCCCACTTTGCCTATCACGCAATCTCTCCCGAATCATGGAAGACGTCGGCAACGGGGAAGATAACACGCCCACTGCTATCTGCTCAGGTTGGGGTTACTGGGACCAGGGGTTGGGAGGTCCATCAAATGGCAATGGCGCAACAAGCTTTCCCAAGCTCGCGATGCCTCTTGGCCCCGCCTTGGCCCCGCCTTGGCCGCTCGAGCCAGGGAACCCTTCCCAAAGGAAATGCATCGTACGCGGTGTTCGTCTCGAGTCGTCCGGGGTTGTTATCGATTCCGTGGGGGAGCAACGTTGCCGTTGATGAATTTGGGCATTGCTGGGTTGATCAGGCCAGGCCGCTGGCTGGGGCTGCCTCGCACTGCACCTCGGCTGGCGCAATGTTGGTTGTTGTATATAGGGGGTTGAAAGGCAGTCCCGGAGACTTGGATGTGCGCTTCACTCACCTTTGCTCTTTCTCGCTATCTTCACTGACAATCTCAAGATAGAAAGTCTGACACCATGTGTAAGCCATGATGTTATTCGTCTGTCGTCCAGCTTCCCACTGACACTGCAGTTCACAGCTGAGAACGTGGTTGGTCTCAACGTCCAGAAGGTTGTCGAACCTGACGCCGACCAGGGCGTTCACCCCGAGAAGACTCGAGAGAAAGTCGACCCGGAGGCCCAGACCAACTCCGTCGAGGCAACGAGCGTCGTCGACTATGAGACCTATCCACTCCCGACCGAGGAGGAGCGCTCGACGCTGCGCAAGGTCCACGACTCCATCCCTCTGACCGCATGGTCTCTCTGTGTCGTTGAGATGGCCGAGCGCGCCTCCTTCTATGGTGTCAAGGCCGCCTTTAACAACTACCTCCAGTTCCCGCTCCCCGAGGGCGGACCCGGTACAGGTGCCATCGACCCCAGCAAGCCCAACTCTCACGCTGGCGCTCTCGGTCTCGGTCTGCGTACTGCTTCGGCGCTTGGTCTCTTGTTCACCTTCCTGGCCTATGTCATCCCCATCTTCGGCGCCTGGATCGCAGATGTCAAGATCGGTAGATACCAGGCTATCGGATGGGGTGTCTTCATTGGTGGTGTAGCACACGTCATCATGGTTGGAGGCGCGGCTCCGGCCGTTTTGCAAGCCGGCAGGGGTGTCGCTCCCTTCCTCATCAGTTACTTCCTGGTAAGTTCTTTGTAACCTACAAGGCGTCAGTTCGTGAAGCTAATGGCTTTGGGAAGCTTGCAATCGGTGCCGGTATCTTCAAGCCCAACGTGGCTCCAACGGTCATTGACCAATACAAGCACCAGAAGGAGTACACCAAGGTTCTCAAGACTGGTGAAAAGGTCATCGTCGATCCCGAGACGACCATCAGCCACATTATGCTTATCTTCTACGCCTTCATCAACGTCGGCGCATTCTTCTCGATCGCTGTCGTCTACATCGAGAAGTACCACAGCTTCTGGTTGGCTTACCTCATCCCGGGAATCGTCTACTTCCTGCTTCCGGTCTTGTTGGCTGCTACGTATAAGCGCACTGTCAGGCTCCCGCCCCAGGGTTCAGACCTGAACCGCTTTGTCAAGATCACTGTCGCCGCGCTGAAGGCTAGCAAGGGCAACATTTTGGCCAAGAACTTCTGGCACAAAGTCCAGCCCAGCACCATCTACTCTGAGACCAGCCTCCGCGTCAGCTACTCCGAGAAGGACGTCGACGATGCGAGACGTACCTGGGAAGCTGTTCAGATCTTCCTCTACATCCCTATTTGGTACCTGAACGATGGTGGTGTTGGCAACGTCCAGAGCAACCAGGGAGCTGCCATGACCTCTGATGGTGCGCCAAACGATCTGCTTAGCCACTTCAACCCCTTGGTCATTATCGTCTTCTCGCCTTTCATGGCGCAGGTTGTCTACCCCTTCCTCAAGCGCAAGGGTATCAAGTATGGACGCATCAGCCGCATGACGACTGGCTTCATCCTCGCTACCATTTCGTCCGTCATCGGTGCCATTGTTCAATGGAAGGTGTACGAGACCAGCCCTTGGTACGTTCTGAAACATTTCCCGCTTCGCTGAACACCTTGCTAACACGATTTGACAGCGGCTACTACGCCAGCGACTGCGATGGCGTCTCGCCCATTTCTATCTGGTGGCAGATTCCCAACGTCGCCCTGGGTGCCATGTCTGAGATCTTCGTCAACGTCACCGCGTACGAGCTGGCCTACGCCCGTGCTCCCGAGCACATGCGTTCGACGGTCGTCGCCCTCTTCCTCTTCATGACGGCGCTGAGCAGTGCTCTGGGCCAGATCTTGCTTCCATCGATCGCTGACCCGACTTTGGTGTGGGCTTGGGCTGCTCCCGGAATCGCTCTGGCCGTGCAGACTGTCGTATTTTGGTTTAGACACCGTCACATGAACGACGAGGTCTTCATGACGTACAAGGAGGACTACCAGAGCGCCAGCTCGATTGAGAAGAAGAGCCTCGACAAGGAGGAGAAGTGACGATCTGGAGGCTAGGTCCGGCTTTGTGGCGGTTGAAGAACTCTCACGTCAATGCTTATGAGTTAGCCATTCGAGCGTCGCACCTGCGCTTGGTTAATACGAAATAATGAACAGGAAAATCTACATCATCATTGCCTATCAAGTGATCTATTGCGCGCGAACCCGAATACTGCATTGTGTAGCCTCTCAAGCCCCCGTGTCCTGTGGCATCGTGATTCCGTATCCTGTATGGTAATGCCAAGACCAAATCATACGTTGAGATATTGATCTCACCGACTGCCTGGCAATGACTCGACCCCCGCCGACTGGCACCAGGGTTTTGAGTCGTCACACTTCTGGGCACTATCAATAATTTCAGCACACGCCGGATCCAGTCAACCAAACCAATAACCTTAGGGAACCTAATCACGACAAATTGCTGCTCGCTGACGTCACCGGAGAAGCCGTTTGAAACATTTCCTCCCTCCTTAAAGCTCCCGCATTAACTGAGTTTACTTGACGCCAAGCTTTCAGTTCAATAACCATTGACTTTGAACAGGGTGGTTTACGGGGAGTCAACCCCAGAGAGAAGTGAAGTATTGGGAGGTAACGCCGCAAATCTATGCTCAAAAGTCTATACAAATTGTCGCTGTGCGATATATGTGTTGAGATATATGTTCTTGACGCAACTTACAGGAAGAACATGCCGCTGTATTCTTCATTATTTATCCCGGCCTAGTCTTTCTTCGTCGTCTTCTGTCAACTCATAAGCAGGCCTGAAACCCGCCCCATTCTGGCCTTCTTTCTTAAGTTGAGGATTAGGATGGGTATCTTGAGTTCCGCCTAAACTTGTGTAGCCCTGGTATATAGTAAGCATGCTGACAAGAGCATGCTCGAGTCCCGAACTTACCTGGTCATATAGTGGACAGTACGGAATTCCCAAATGGCGGATAAACTATGAAAGTCATTAGCGGCCGTTCGGTTGGGCCGAGGAGCGGATAGCGAAGTTGTCGGCCCGTCATATCAACTTAGATTAAGATCAAACTTACTGCCCAGATTTCGGCTGCGTACCGGGTTAGCTTTGTTTCTCCAAGTGGGCTGCCGATGCGCCCTAGGTCTGCGACATCCGGAAGAGCCGGATTCTGGGGATGAGAGACGTACCATAGTGCCAATCAATCACCGGGTGCACCCGCATGAAGTCGGGCCAACCCGAGTCCGTAGGGTCGAAATGTGTCAGCTTCTCGCCGTGCGGGTCTGTCCTCCTCGTTCCAACAAATATCGCCTTGACGCTCGGTCGGTCTGCCAGATAAGCCTCCAGTCCTTGCTTCATGGACATTGCATAACGCTTCACATTCAAATGGTATATTGAGCTAGTCGTGGCGACAAAATCGTCTACCTCGGCGAACGGGTGCTTCGAAACGATGTAGACGGCTTGGAATTCGTCGGGGAAGGACTTGGCATCCGCAGCGCCATTCGAGCCATTCGAATCGTTGGTTTTAGAGGAGGGAAATCGACGCGCAAGACAGGCAAGTAGCATAATAAGGAGGACGAGACCTGGGATCATGAACATGTCAGCATCCATTCGGAAAAGGATTTCCTGCGACCGGGAAACTTGGGAGACGATGCGCCGCCATGGGCCATCGAAAGCGGCGCATTTGAGGCGAAGGGCCCGTCGCATGGAGATATTCACTTACAGTCCTTGCCTCCGTTGTAGGAGAGCGAGATCTGTTCCAAACTATCACACGTCGGCGCATCAGCAACTTGCCCGGACTGTGCCGAGGCACACGTGGTGGGGGTTACACACCTGTAGGTCGCTAACGCCTCGTCTACCACGCCCATTGATACGCGGAGCTGCTCCTGTACATTGCGCAGAACATCTGTCTTTGGGTCCTCGGCCAGGAAAGCGTCGACCTTATCTCGTAGCTCGACGCAGACATCGTGAAAGGAGCGGGGAGGCGACTCGGAAAGGTGGGGTTTCGCGGGGTAGCCGTTGGCCGCGGGAGCAGCGCTGACGGCGTGCTGGCCTTGGGCGTGAATCATGGTGATTCCAGGCGATACTCGAGAGGAATGCGCGTCGCAATTACGGGTATATGGGGCGGAGGAAAAAGGTCGAACGTGGTGTCTTTTTTCGGCGGCGGCGGGGGAGGCATAAGACGGAAGACATTCGGTGTCCTCTCGGAGGCGGCGATGGCGGGGGACGTGCGGCGGGCGACATCTTTCCCATTTTGCCGGATCAGGCGGCTACCGCCTTCCGGAAGAGGGAAGGTCCGGCACGTGAAATTCTCCACTTGGTCTAGCGGCCCAAAGACCCCGAAAATGCAGGTAACGCCGTGACCAACCGTTCCTGACTCGGCAATTCATTCCTCTTTCTTCTTTCTTCAGCGTCGGCTCATTGTCCTGCATCTCGCCCTTCATCAAGAAGGCGAAGTCGCGGAAGTCGCGCTGCAATCCTTTCAGTCGTCAATGAATCATATGTTTCACAACCAAACATCCGCTTTCAACATCCAAAGACGGACAAGTGTCACCGTTTGCCGAAGAGGATGGTGACCTGAGACGCGTCTCTAAGACATCCATGGATGAAGTCATCATCCCGAACGCGTCAAACTCATCAAAATTTTCACATGGAGAGTATTATGCATTGATTTTCATTACGAGTTTTCACATCACATCCTACTGTGTTGTGATGACCTGGTATCCCCAAACGCCGTGCTAAGAAGCAATCTCAACCACCATCCGATGCCATTCTCATCTTCGAGATCCAATACTTTCCTCATCCTCCGGAGTCTCAGGCAATGAAAATCGATTCCTCGTCGGACTGGAGTAGGACTTCGGCGGCGGGCTTAGTGGCGTGCCGACCTCTTCATCCGCCTCACCAAACCCGTCAGACCCGTCATCCGACTCTCCTCCTGCTGTCAAAGCCGGGCTGATCGCCGTTCGGACCATGAGGCCACCTTCTGGTGAATGTTCAACCACCCTAGACCTTGGCTCAACCTCCATCACATCCAGATAGTCTGGGCTCGTAATCGTTTGTTCGCTTGAGACTGTTGTCGTCGCCTTCAGTGGCCTCCGAGTGAGTCGAGTGCCGCTTTCGTATGAGATCTTTTGGCTGTCCGTGTTTCTACCCATCACGCGTAGTAGAGGGCGGAGAGTTGGGATGCATACGCAGATGACGGCACAGCAGACCTCCACCTGGGACCAAACCAGCGCTGGGATGACATCCCACGTAACATCCGCCGTAAATACGTGCGTGATTGTCACTATCCTCACAATTGAGATCGCCGTCGTTCTGCTTCGCATCAGCTCTGTCGCAAACACTCAGTGCCAGCTTCACTCACATGAATCCAAGCCCGAAGCTCACCATCAACGCGACTTTGAGCATTGCTCTGAGCTTCAATCTGTGCAACATTGGAATTGGCATCAAAAAGATGATGATGTCGGTCGCCAGATGCACGGAGGATGTCGCCAGCCACCAAGCGCATTGGTCATATCTCTCTGCCTGAAAGGTGTCACCCCTCCAAGTCGGAGCTGCCATGACGATGGACGACACAACTACGGCGATTCCAAAGCAGCAGATAAACCCGAACATGATGTTACAGACGAGTCGAAACTTCGGTACCGCGAACACCCGTCGAAACTGAAGCAGGACTGCCATCTTGACTGCAATGAACGTGGCACTATAGCACAAGGTAGCCCCGATCGTTATCTATCCCAGAATGTTAGGGGAAAAGTCTTTGAGTTCTCTCTTTCAATCATCTCACCCTGCGGCCATCTTGTTGAACATCGATCGGGATGGTCCAGATGTGCATCCCAAGTCCTTTGGTCGTACCTTGCAATGGATATCAGCAATGATCCTTGCCGCAAAGATCTCAACGAAACTTACATATGGAGAAAATAACACCAGTCAAGATGGCAAGTATCTGGGATCCTATCAGAGGTTATGCTCACTCCGATTCCATCGACTAAACTCACAAATGAGATGACAACGAGAGTATCGTCGGCGCCCCAGCTCTTGATGACTATTGCCCGTACGTATACCCGCAGTAGGACGAACATCAAAGTGACCGACAAGCATACCGCAGTCGAAACAATGAGCCAGCTCGCTCGGCTGGCGTCCGTGTACCGCGGGGTCCCGTCGCCAGACGTGATTGCCGACTCGTTATGCATCGTGGCCATGTGTCGTCTCCAATCACCACTACCTGGTGGAAATAACGATGCGTCCCGAGCCCTCTCCTTCAAATACAGGTCTGAGGCGGAGATATGGAAGCAGCCGATTTGAAATCCGTGCAGCAAGCTGCGCACGAATGATGTTGATGACGGCCAGGCTGCGACGAAACTGTGTGCTTTCTGCAAGATGGAGCCGGGGAAGTGCTACGCTGAACGGCGACATGAGCAGGACGCGACCACGTGTATATGAAGAGGGCAGAAGAAAATCTGGAACAACATGGGGCTGGGGCTGTCATCAGGCACTTGACCGTGTTCAGCGAGTTTTCTGCCCGTGGCGTGGGAACATCGTATGTCTCACCGCATGCGGAAACGCCACGAGCGATCCCAGCACCATCAGGGACGGGCAGCTGAATCGGTGGGCGTCATATTTACGGGCAAAATTCGATCTTGATTCGAGATTTTGCATATGAGAAGCCGCTAAACACTTGGCATTGCTGTCGAAAGTTCAGTTGCACAGGAACCAGCCAACCACGAGACTCGACCAGCTCAAACTTTCCGAGCAGACACCTTAGCCCCAGATTGATGTGCAGGGGCGCTCAACCTCGAGCCAAAGGGACAATGGTGCTCCAAAGGATACTCCATAACGATCTCGTTCTCCTGAGCCGTCTACCGGAGCAGATACCCGGCCCACCGGGTCGATGTTGGGGCTGGACTATCGGCTCATGGCGCCAACTCCGATTTGCCCGAAATCGCCTGGCACATCCATTAGCATGCGGTGACCAAGTGTCTCTTTCGAGCTACTAACGGTGGCAAGGTTAGCCAGAATCCAAGTGGGACAATCTCGGGCAAAATTATCGATCATTGCTGTTTAAATACGGCTACTATAGCAGCCATTTGAGCAGCTCAAATTGGCTTTACAACGATGAAAACTAACACACCTGGACATCTTAAAGCTTCTCCTATCCAATGGTTTGAGAGATGACTTTGAAAAGGACGAGTGCTGGAAGTGCAAGCCAGTATCATAGCTTCGGAGTTGACCTGGGTAACCACTCAACGTAAGCACCAACAGTCTGACTGTGGCTGCGGATCCCACACTAAGATCTAGCCATGGCTTTCAAAGGGGGCCAAGTATGCCACCGGCAACAATGAACATGCGCCACACAGAAATCCGATTATGTCGTAACTGGGGCCTTACCTAGGAGGCGGAAATGCCTATACTGGAATCGGCATATCAACGGCACCAAAAACTACGTTATATGTCAGCGCCCGCACCCAATGACATGGAGATGGGCTGCCTCTCACACGTTGACGATGGCTCACAAGATCTACAGATCATCGCCCGTTATTCAAGGCCCGGTAATCCACAGAGCACGCTTGGCGTTTCTTACTCGACAGGAATGACAGGCATTTTAGCCTAGGAGCCTTTGCTCTCGTTGAAGTAGAGGACAGATGCTCCGTTCACCATCGGACTGAGTCCAGTGCTTTCTTAAGAAAATAGCTCTTTCATTATTCATTCTGTATGGCTCATATTTACAAGCTGTCTTCGCTTTATATCATTTTCTTTCAGGCGGGAAATCTAGAGTTGAGCGCGTTCCACTCAGTCTGCGTTAACGGTGTGACTGATCCATGCTTCAATCCGCTTGGGAACCCAGAGGTACTTGAAGCCTGCCAGTTAGGTGACTGGATGTTGCTCGTCTGGAAAGGCACATATTGTGTGTAATCGTCGAGCAAGAGATGGTACAGGCCGGGGGTCGTGTTATCCGCGAATGCTGCGGGGCCCTCACGCGGGCTCTCGTTCCGAACATATCCAGGAATACGCGTCCAGGTTCCAAAGAGACCACCGGTGGTAACTTCCTGGTAGACTTGGTTGGTAGTCTCGTTCTTCAGGAAGCGAGCAAAACTTCCAGGTGTGCCGAGATACTGGAACTCTTGGTCAATGAGAGGGGTGTCGGCGAGGGCAACGTAGTCTCGGGCGGCGCTGAAAGTGACAAAGTCCTTGGTGGCCGTGTAGCGAATTCGATCAAGCGTTGCGGTGCCGGTGTGACCGGTGTCGGTTGAGCGGTAGTGTCTAGACGCCCAGAAGACGTACCAGTGGCCCTTGTCGGCATCCCAGACGGCAGAGGGCGCCCAAACCATGCCAGCCGTGTCGGCTTCGACGCTGAAAAAGGTGTGAGCAATGGTTATATTACTTCATCTGAAGTACTTACATTCTCAGAGTGGGTGCAGACCAGTCAACCAAGTTAGTCGACTTCCAGACAACAATACCACGGCTGCCGGTCCGCGTGGCCTTGTCCCAGTTGAAGCCAGAGGCATTGATATCGAGATCTAAGTTCACCATCCATCAACTACATTCTGGCAATGCGTGAGGTTGAAGTACTCACCTGTGGCAATGATGTACCATTCGGATCGAGCAGCATTGGTCGTGAGGAACACGTCGCGGACTGCCTTCGTGCCGACTGTTGAAGTGAGGACGGGCTGTCCCTTGTTCAAGAACTTGAAGCTCGAAGCGCTGTTCCCGTTTGACAGATGAAATTGAACCTTGGGGTTGGCATCACTGAACGTCGAAATAAGGTAGCCAACATAGTTGGTGGCCTGACGGGGAACAGGGTTCGCTGCCACGAGAGCGGCCGAGGCAACGGCGGTGAGTATTGAGAGAACGCGCATTTTGAACCGAATCAGCCTGGTGGATCCACGGATTCCACTTCGTCACAGATTAAAAGACTCATGTTCAATTTGTTGGATATTATCGACATTATATACACGCGGTCGTGGTGATGTAGTATCGCAGTCACGCAGAGCTCCGTGGCCTTGGCAATATTGGCATTGGTCTTGAGCCGAGTCAGTTTAACTGCGCCAGATCACTCAGGTCAGCCGGCGTGAAGCTTCATATACGGAATGCATTTCTATGGCGCGGCTAGACTTCTAGTTCACTGTCGGGGTAGCGTCCTGCCGAGCTCTCTCGCAATGCGGGGATGGGCGACTCCACAAACGGCGTAATCGACTCCGTCAACGGGACTAGCGTATGGGGAAGATGCACTCTTCCGGTAGTTTACCCCATGGCACACCATGTCATGTGGGGTTTGGCATCTGGAGAAATCGCTCATCAACCTTGTTTCCTTGATTGTGATACTTGGGCAGAAGGTTGCACTCAAGGAAGAAACCCGCCATCACATGCCGTGCCCGCGCAATCATGGTTTAAGCGCCAATGACCTCCAGCGAACATCACGTAATTCTGCTCTTCTTTCTACCTCATGGCGAGGTCTCATCCGCCTAACGTTATTTGACGACTCGGTCCAGCCCACCCAATCACACCCATAATAGCGAAGCACCTGGTACCTGGGTCAGTTACTAGTTCGCACTCTACGATTGGTGGCTTTTGGCGTTGAGAATGGAATTCGATTCTTGACAGGTGCGGGAGTTCCGCGTACCTGCAGCAGTATCCGTCATCAGCATCAGATAGCGTCCATCGCTCAATTGGTCTATCAATACACCTGTGAATTCTCTACCTGTATCGAGAGTGAGCGGGGTTTTGTTGTACTAAGACTCCTGATCTACTTTCTAATCGAAGTTCAGTGGAAAAGTGCGCGAAACAAGACACGGCCCTGAGAAAAGGAGAGCCCAAAAAGGGAAACTATGTAGAAGAGACGAAAAGCTTCATGCCGGTAAATAACCTGAAGAGCATCATCTAACACTCAAGCGAGTCCAGATCGAGTTCCTCCTTCCGTCGCCTGATGAGAAACTTGGTGGCTGGATCGGGAATGATTGACATGCCGAAGGTAGTGGCCTTTGGCTGGAAGCCGTCGGGAAGCTTCCAGTCGTACTTGAGTAGGATATGGCACAAGGCGATCTTGATCTCGTTGGCGGCAAAGAAGCGACCAGGACAGGCGTGAATACCATGCCCGAATCCAAGATGTCTTGAACTTGTGCTCACGAGATGTGCCGTCTTGCTGTCTTCGTCCCTTTCACCCTCCGCCGCCTCTCGCAGCCTCAAGAACCGATAGCCATCGAACTTGTCGGCATCCTTCCAATACTCGGAATTCCACATGTGAGTCCCTTCTCCAAGGACCCTCTGGCCCTTCTTGATCACGAAGCCGTCCGAAAGCTCGACATCAGCAAGTGCCTGTCGACTCCACAGTCCTTGATGAAAATCCATTAGCAACTTTCGTTTAAAGACAGTTCCATGTTCACTCGGAGACCTACCCAGTAGCGCCGGCTTCATACGTTGAGACTCCTTGATGACACTGTCCATCAACTTCAGGTTGTACAACGCCGTCTTCTTCAATCCTTGAGATCCCAAGACAGTGATGACCTCTTCTCGGAGGGGGGCCAAGATTTCGGGGTTCATGGCAATGTCAATCATCGTTTGTTGAAGAAGATCAGAGGTCGTGTGGATTGCAACAACGGTTAGTGTGAGCTTGGACTCAGGGTTAGTTGTCTGCTAGTCTGCTATTCTTCTTTAAGCTGAGATGCTTACCTGGTGCCTGGCATGCTCATTGGATGGGCCGTACTCTGTTTCCCACCACTCGACCAGATCATCGAATGGGCTCGGTTGTCCTTTGGCCAGAGCAGCAGCTTTTATGGCATTTCGCTTCTTGATGTGAGGCTCGAGGGCATTATTGGCCTTGACCAGCTGCTGCCGAAGATCCTGGCAAACTGGCATGGCCCAGTGAACGATGGGCCTGAGGAGGCGGGGCCAAGCTCTGACTTTATCAGTAGCTTTGAAGGCAGTGATGGTGTAGTCACCGGATGCTTTTGTCCATTCCTCATTCCTACAGAGCTCCTCGCCCATGAAGATCCTTGTAGACATCTGCGACACAACACGAACAAGGTCTTCCTTGGGGCTCATAACGTGCCATTCTGACAAGGTTAGCTGGCTTCTGCTACAGAATTGGAGGACAATCGTACCTGGGGAGTCTGTCAACACTGCCCGCATCGCAAACGTTGCTTCTTGAGAAATTGGGGCCGTGAGCTTGGCTGTAAGTAACGACAACTTTAGTTAGTAGTCTTGCAAAATTGTGATTTGTCGAGTCCTGAACCACCCACTTAGAGCCTTGGTCAAGTACTTCGTGACGATTTTGGCCAACTTATCATCCAGCGAGAAAGCGTCGAAGCCAGGGATATACCCATGAGTATCCTGTGAGTCTATGTGAGCTACCGTATCAGTGACGGGCATCATTGAGAAGATATCATATACATCATTTGCTGGGACAAGGAATGACAGTCGCGCATCACTTCGAAGCTCTTCGATGTGCTGAGGCGACAGTACGATAACCTCTCCCCAGTCGCAGTACGCCTTATAAAGTTTGTTGCCGAAACGAGATCTTCCCTCAGCCAGCAGTGCAGCACTTCGTGGGAAAAATTCGGAAACTCGACGTCTGTTGGTGAATTCAAATGCCTTCTTAGGGTTAAGCTCTGGCAGGTTGCTCTTCTGGTCACCAAAGGCGCGCGCAAAAAACACCAACACGGCCAGAGTGAGAATATAGACGGCCGGCTGGTCAGCAAAGGGTATGTCAACCCTCAGCTCCTCCCACCACGTTGGTCGAGAGTTCATGTTGGTAAACCTTTCGGGGCCGTAAGGTGTCAGGCAAAGAGTTCAAATGTTGCGATGCAGAGGAAATAGTCGTGTTGTAAATCTGGCTGGGCTCTAAATCTCCTGTTCTCAATGAACTAACTGGGCGTTTTATCTAAAATCTCTACAGTGATTCATTTGATACGCTTGTAAGTCGAGTCGTATTCTACGCCCTATGCAGCCGCCGTAAAGACCGGAGTCCGGCCGCTGGGCTCCGCCGAATGCGATACCGAAATAGGCATCTTCCCCGGCTACTTGCTACGCTCATACTCAGAAGCCCGTCCCCGCTGACAAAGCTTGCAGATCATGAGCTTGCGTAAGTTCTGATTCAGCCAAAACCTCGATCGGCAGCCAACCGACATCTAGACCAAGGATTTCTCCGACAAGTGCGGAGCAACTGCCGGCGCGGGCAGCTCCTTCGATAGACCGAAACATGCATCACGGGCCGCTGGAAGGACTCCGGTGCATGGATCTGAGGAAGTAAGCCACCGGAGAAAACCCACCGCACGATGAAGCAGCGCTGCATAGTAGCCGAACTGGGGTAGTAAACGGCACAAACTAGTGATAAACTGCCAATTGCGCACAGTCTGATATGATAGAGCCAGGTCAAAGAACACCAGGTTGTCGTTCCAGGAGCATTCGACACAAACGGACATGTCGCATACAGGGTTTGGAGTTGTCCCGGCATTTGCCATCAAGAGGCCTGAAGTGTTCAACTTCCAAATCTCCAATTTGCAAATCGAAACCCTTACAACGCTTCTTCGACTTTGTCCCATAGCCCCGGAAACATGGTACAACAGGCAAGAAGATCTTGAATTTGGCCTCAGTCGCCGATGGATGATCGAGGCTAGAGATGAATGGCTCGAATTCAACTTCCATCAATTCGAAAACGACGTCAATCTTTTTCCCAACTTCAGAATACCCATCGAAGACCCTGACCATGGTACAGTGTCCATACACTTCGTAGGTCTCTTTTCAAAAAAGCATGATGCGGTTCCGATTATCTTCATGCACGGTTGGCCTGGGTCGTTCCTTGAATTCAGACCAATGCTGCGACTACTCACGCAAAGATTCACTCCTGAAACTCTTCCTTATCACATTATCGTGCCCTCGATACCAGGTTACGGACTTTCGTCAAGTGGCAACCTGGAAAATGAACTCACTCTGGATCAAGCGCCGCGACTGATGCACCAACTTATGATGGAGCTTGGTTTTGGTACTGGGTACGTCGCACAGGGAGGCGACGTTGGTAGCAATCTGGCTGGACAGATGTCCGCAAGATTCGAGGAATGCAAGGCGTATCATCGTAAGCAGACAAAACCAAGAAGTACCGAGATGGGCATGGACTAATGCACACATAGTCAACTTCTTAGGCCCCGAACCTGGGGACGATTTGTCGACTGTCCAGAGTCCAACCTCGGAAGAACAGGAGCAGATGGAACGAGGGAAGAACTTCGCTTTCAGTGGTTCTGCATACGTTTTCGAGCACGGTTTCAGACCAGCAACCATAGGTCACTGCATTGCGTCGAGCCCAATTGCGTTACTAGCTTGGTCAGTCATTTTTATGCGGCTTTAAGCCCATCTACCTGAAGCATCCGCTGATTATTGCCATGAAGGATTGGTGAGAAATACGTCCACTGGACCGATCCCCTGCACCGACTAAGCATCCAAACCATTCTCGAGCTCACCACACTATACTGGTTGACGGAAACATTTCCACGGAGTCTTTATCCGTATCGCCACCTGGCACCAGTGCTAGCATCCGGTGACTCGCTTTCAATCAGCAAGTCCACGATAAAGCCGTTCGGGTATGCGGCATATCCCTTCGAGTGTGTTCTCATGCCAAAGGCATGGGCACATCAGGTGTATCCCAATTTAATCCAATACAGTAGACAGGAAAAGGTAAGAGAGACATGACGTCACGCTAGTGTATAGGTCTAAATCTTGATTAGGGCGGGCACTTTGCAGCTCTAGAGCAGCCTGAGATTTTCCTTGACGATGTGCTCAGATTTGTTGAGCTGGTAAGGTCTAGGGGCATTTTCGTGTAAAAAAGCCTCAGAGGCTTTGGCTAAGATACATAAAGTCTACACCCCTTAGCTAGAAATACTATCTAGTATCTGTTCATGTTTGATATGGTCGTGCCTGAGGTCCGAAGGAAGCAGTCTTCAATTCTGTACAAGAACCTGTCTATGTCATAGCTCGCCTGCCATTTACAAGTGCTTAAAACGATTGAGACAAAGAATAAAAGACGTTCAAAACATTCGCGGTCACCAAACTCCTAACCTACCTAATGAATTTTATGGTACTCGTCTGCTCGTGTACATTCATCCCCACAGACCAGGAGTCCCACAATTAAGTTGCAAAAGTTGCAAAAGACAAGTTGTTTCGCCCTTCTCACCGAGGCAGAGCAATCGTCTATCTCGTTTTAGACCCTTAAGAGTGATAACGCGTTAATATTCTCACCGCCTTTTGGAAATGTCTGTAAGATTTGTAAGAAGTGTTCGAAAATGGTCTGCGATCCTTGGCCACCCCCAATCGGCCCCAGACGAGCTCAATCCCACCGGCTGAGATCGGTGGTTCGGTCCGTGCCAAGTGCCGAATTATAAATCACAGGGTGTATATATGTATTGCCATCTTGTTCTGCTTCACTGATACAATTCCATTACAACCCAGCATCAGAACTTTAACGTCCGAGCCCTAGAACGGATAACTAGACGGCACCGCATCAGCCAGCCAACCGGAAATAATACCTATCAAAACTACAACAATATGACAGACTCAAAGGTTTGGCTGATCACCGGGACAACCTCGGGCATGGGGGCTGCCATGATGGAGCAGTTCGCCGCACGTGGCGACCGGGTGATAGCAACTGGGCGCAGCGCAAGCGTCAGACTCGCAGACAAGAAGTCGAGCAGCATTTTCCCTTTGGATCTGGATGCTACTGCATCACTAGCTGTTGTGAAAGAACGGATCGAAAAGGCCATCCAGGTCTTCGGTCACATCGATTTCGTTGTCAATAACGCCGGTATCTCAGTTCCTCAGACGATTGAAGAGGCAGAGTAAGTACCTATTTGACCTTATTGTGACGTGAAGTTGACTCCGATACTCTACTCAGCGACGCGTTCACCCAGAAGATGCTTGATACCAACCTTATTGGTGCAATTAGGCTTGTGCAGGCCGTGCTTCCTCATTTCAGAGAGAGGAAGGCCGGTACATTCGCCTTCATTGGCTCTGCAATGGGCTGGCAAACCTTCCCGTTCTTTACCCATTATGGTATCACCAAAGCTGGCCTCTCTAGTAAGTCATAGAGATTGTTCCTGATCAATGTACACGAGATGGCTGATTGTCGAAGTTTTTGCCGAGAATCTCCAAAGAGAAACTGCCCACTTGGGACTGCGGGTCGTTGTTTTCGAGCCTGGAGCCTTCGTGACCGGCATCGGGCAGACGAGGACCGCGGCTGATGAGGGTCTCGGAGGAGCACCTAGCATCTCTGACTATCAAGGCTTGTTTGGGGAGATAATGGGAAAGTTCTCCTCACCGGAAATGTCGGAAAGCATTCCTTCTACCGTCGAGAAGCTCCCTTCGGCTGTTTGGGATGTAGTCAAAAGCGAAGGTATGGCTGCGGGGAAGCCATTCCCTATTCGGGTACCCTTGGGCCTCGATGCGTTGGCCGTGGTCAGACAGAAGTGCTACGAACAACTCAGGCTGTGCGATGAGTGGGAGAAGGTCGCCCTGAGCACGACAAAAGATGGTGCGGATACCACCCCGAACAAATATCTCCTGGAAAAGATGTCTATCATGAACTTGGCCAAGTAAGCCACGAATTGGATATTCGGAATGAGTGACGGAATACCGAATGGCATCTCATCTTTTGTTAAGTAGGAACCGCCGGGGCATATGAAAGCTGTTTTTGATTAATCAATATCACGTGCGCTGGGAACTGCACTTTGCTTCAATGCCGGTGGGATACGCCCCAGAGCTTCCGGACGCAAGGTACGCAAAAAAATTCCAATACTTGCTGGCAGGACATCCGCATCACCACAGAGCATCGATTGTTCAGCTGGAACGCCGTCTGCCTTGAAGAGTTCCGGAACACGTCGGAAGGGTTCCGAATGTTATCCTTACGGTTAGCTGATTCTACATGTCCATCTTCACCTGGCAGTAGATCTGAGTAAATGACAGAGTCTATGCGCGAGGGTCCCGCAGCAGTGATCCTCAACTACAACCATCGGCGGGTAGTTATACCAGATTGGGAAGGTACATGCGCCCCGAGGACGCTACCCACCCATCACCCCTTTCTTGATAATCAATAGCACAACAAACATATGGGTTGCAAACAAGCAGTCAAATTAGAGTTCAACTGACTGTTTTCGTCCAATAATTCTGGATCCATAGAGAACCAGATCGTGGTTCACACCCGTCACGGGCGACATGCAGACTGTGGCCCCCCTAAAAGACCCTGTTAGTCCTTTCGTACAACAGGTATATAATGAGCATCGATCCTCGCTTCAGCATCATATCTGAGATTCGGATAACCATCTCATTCATTCGTTGTTCTTATCATCATGCATCTGCTGTTCACACTATCGGCGGCCCTTGCTGGTGCTGCCATGGCCCTCGATCCTATATGCGACAGCGAGTGCCAGGCCAGCTGCAACGCGGAATGCCAGACTGCCATCCAGACGACCTACGAAGCAGAAGCAGCACTTTGGGTCGGCGACATTGTCTCTGATCCTTTCTATTCGACACCTGCGAACGTCACGGGAGCCAAACCTGGAGATATTCTCCGCTGGGAGAATGTCCCTGCAGCTCAGCTGGCCTCCAATTGGACACTCCCGGCCAGTCTGTCGCTCTCGCGCGTTCTGTACATGACCGAAGATATCGATCGGAAGCCCATTCCGGCCTCGGCTTGGGTTCTCTTACCATTCACCAACCCGTTTGCCAAACCCCAGGGAACGCCGGAGGAGAACAAGCTGCGAACCATTGTCTGGACGCACGGAACAGCAGGCCGCAGCAGACTCTGCGCTCCCACTAACAACAAGGGTCTTTACTACGACTGGAAGGCTCCATTCATTCTCGCCGAGTCGGGATATGCTGTTGTTGCTCCGGACTATGCAGGTCAGGGGTCAGACATCCACCAAGGATTTATGTACGAGTCTGGATTCCTCCATGCTGCCGATGTTGCCTATGCTCTCATTGCTGCGAGGAAGGGTCTTGGAGATGTTCTCAGCCAGAAGTGGATGGTTTACGGCCACAGTGAAGGCGGAATGACTGCTTGGCGAACCAACGAGCGTTTGGCCATGCCTGACCAAGAGGCCCTTTTGGCTGCCGGAGAGTTCGTCGGTTCCGTTGCGGCAGCCCCTGCCCTGCGTCCTCAGAAGCTGATCCCAGCAACGCTTGAACGAGCTCAGGGCCAAGCCGCTCGGGACCCCTTCTCCGTCTACTTCCTTCAGTCTCTCTCAAGGCTCTACCCAGACCAGATCAAGGTAGAGGACTATCTCGGCGAGATTCCTCTGCAAAGACTCGGAGCTCTGGATAAGTCATGCTTCCAGACAGGGTTTGCCATTGTCGGTGGCTTTACGCCTGATCAGCTTTACAAGAACACTAGTTGGCTCACGCATCCCGCAACAAACGACTGGGCCGTCCGATACAACGGTCAGGGGCCTCATGCTATTGCGGCTCCCATGCTTGTTATCCAGGGCTCGACAGACACAATCACTCCGGCCAACCTGACATTGGACGACTTCAACCAGACATGCACCACCTTCCCTGAGAGTCCAGTACATGCTCGCGTGTATCCGGATATGGGACACGGTCAGGTTTTGGAGGCTGCCAGGGCTGATATCGCTGCTTGGATCGCCGCGAGATTTGAAGGAGTTCCCGTTGAGAAGACCTGCGTCCACGAAGACGTCAAGCCTTTCACCGATCGCTACGCTGTGGGTGATATTTTCTGGCACGGCACGGCTGTGCCCTTCTAAAGGCCAAGTATGCTTGGGAAAGTGATGCAGTTGATGGTCCGCTTTCTGTTTACCATCGAATGCAGACTAGGACAAGTCTATCACTTCTATGTACATAGTTAACCTAAAACCCATCGTACATCTCATTTCATCACCATACCGTGTCAGCTCCCAAGCCGTCCGAAATTCAACTTCTTTTCTCCTCTCCTCTGTCGCCAGTAATTTGTTCCTTCTAGTATCTCAGGGCATCCGCGGATGAGCCATGCCCATTTTCTGAAGAAGGCTTCATTTGCCTCCCATCCCCGAGGGTCCCAAGACTCGCCCCAGACCAAGAGTCGAGGTCGCTCATCTCCATCATTAGACTTGTGGCCAACGCCAAAGACATCAGCACAGAACTCGTCCTCGTCGAAGAAGCCAAGATCTTCAGCCCGTATCGCACTTTCCCTTAGCGAGGGAATTGGGAACAAGTCCAGAAACGGGTGGTGAGTGATTTGATACTGGGCTTCCGTGGGTCGAAGGAATGGAGGCCACAGTGATGCTTGCCGCGGCCCGCAAGGAAGCTTGGGTCCCTCCAAGTTGAAGGGTGAAATGAAATGATCTTCGCAGAGAGATTGAGGGATGAACCCCAATACCCGGGCGTTTCTAGCCAAGGCATTCAGTAGGTTCAGGCCAACAAGAGCATAGAGCTGGGTTGGTTGCGGGGTTCCCAGCGAGTAGTTTGTCTGGGCACTTCTTGCGAGAATGATCATCTCGGCCCTCCTATTCGGACACGGAAGAAGCACATAGCCTCCATCTCCATCGAGTGAGCTTGAAGACTCACCCTCCCCTTCGCCACTTTCTAAGTTGTTACATAACTCTTTCAATTTTCTTCTTCCTATGCGCACAAGGAAAGTGTCAGCGACCAAAGTTGACGATCTACGTAGAGCCTTGGGATCACTAACGACGCGCCCTCTGGTTAAGGCGATTTTGTATCTTCCGCCTTTCTTTACTTGATGAGACCCCGGTCCAATTGTCTGCGGGATCCTTCATCTCCAGCTGATGGGGTATTAAGTCGAGCTCCAGCTTGGTAGGCGGATCTGCGCTACTCGATGCACTCAATTCTGTAGGATTCGACATTTCTTTAACCAGATCAACAATTGTGGAGTTGTGGAAGAAAAAGCACCTCGTCCGCCTTGGGCGGAGTGCTGCTCGCCCAGGGGTCTACAGACTTCCGAGGGGGGCGCGGGGGAACTTCGGCCCTCTATTATGCATACATAAAAGGCCCACACAGTACGAAGTCTAGCATATGCTTAGTATATACTCTAGCCTTAACGTAGCCCTCTATACTTTAAGGTACGTAAACTTTCTAAGGTATATGCTCAGTATATGCCCCCTAGGCTTTAGGAGCTTTAGGGGCCCTACCCTCTAAGCTTTAGAGGTTATACCTAGCATATGCTCAGCATAAGCCCTACCTTAGGGGCCCTGCCTTAGGGGCCCTGCCTTAGGGGCCCTGCCTTAGGGGCCCTGCCTTAGGGGCCCTGCCTTAGGGGCCCTGCCTTAGGGGCCCTGCCTTAGGGGCCCTGCCTTAGGGGCCCTGCCTTAGGGGCCTTGCCTTAGGGGCCCTGCCTTAGGGGCCCTAAGGGCGCGCATATGCTGAGCATATGCGCAATCATCAATCCATTTTCCCCTCGTATAAACTTTAGGGCACTTAGAGAGCTTTTTTGAATTTCACTGTGTAACTTGCATTTTTTTGCATAAGTGTGTGGCGCTTGCACGGCCACAGCCCCCTAGGAAGTCTGTAGACCCCCCTGCGAGGTGTACACCCCGCGTTGGGCTGGGCTTCTTTCGGTTTTAAAGCCCCTGAGTCGTAAGCCAAGGCTTGGCCGGACCACTCAGCGCCCCGAGATCGCACTAAGGAATTACAGATAGAGCATAGTGGGTCGCCTGAAGCCTATTTACGAGGCACCTCAGGAACCGTACCGACCTCACCTGGGTACATGCATGATGTCAGTGAACCTGGAAGACACTGAAAATAGTTCGCATGCAAACCCGCGCGAGAGTGGTTCTTGAATTTGGATCAAATATTGTTGCGAAATCTCATCAAAACTAGGTATTTACCATCCGGATCCGCAACTCGTCTAGTCATAACTTCATTCTTGTATTTTCTCAAATCTCACGAGTTACTTCCATGCAGTGTTGTCATCGCCGAAAGAAAGGCGGCGAGTAGAACTAGCATCTGTTGGCTCAATGTTGCGCTTCTGTGATGTAGATGTTCCAAAGAGCGACTCTGGGACCTAAGCAGAGGGCTTGAAGGGACTAGACTCCTTTCAGAAGTTCCAAAGACTGTCATAAAACTCGGTTGCTTCCTCTTCTGTGCTGAAGTCGCCCATGATGCCACTTAGAAGGCTCCCATATGCATCAGGCATATTGACATCCGCAATTTGGGACGCCCAATTTGCCATGTCTTCCATATTCGGGCCGTTGGAGGTCAACGAAGACGGCTGAAACTCCGGTCTGTCAACCTGATTCCGATCTACCACCATTGCCATGGTTCTAGCAGACAACGCTTCGAACAGGTTTCGGTATGGTGCCGCAGCCTCCCATCGTTCCGCCATGACAGCCAAGAGCATTGTACAAGTCGTGAAGATGGTGCTAACGTTGTCGACTCTGATTGATCTTCGAACGGCCGAAGAGGTCCAAAGGCAGTGCATGTAGGTCAAACCTGCCAAAAAGAGAAGGTGTAGCGTTGACCACGTGTAATTGATCGGTTTGCCAATGTACAGGCGTTTGCAGCCTTGGCAGATACTTGCAGCTGCTTGAGCACACTCCAGAAAGACATCGTCTTCCTGATTCTTTTTAGCAGTAAGCTGGCCGCGATATAGGAAGAGAATAGTTTCGTAGTAGGTCAACTTGTAGTCTTCCATGTTGGAGAACACAGTAAGTGGAACAGCTGCTCGACGCGGCTCTGGAGGTGTACGTGCCATCCAATCATCGAGTTCTCTGCGAAACATCTGCACTTGGGCTTGGTGCTTATCTTTATCTGAGTTTTCGATGGAGATATTGGAGTAGAAAACAGCATAGATGCGCGCCCAGATGCATCTGATGTCAAATTGGTGGAGCGCATGCGAGACGGTGGTGGAAGGTCCACTTGGTGATGTTCGCGGCGTGCCTTGGATTTCTGTTTCGCTTATCGCGGAATCGTCAATATCAAGAGGAAGCTGTCAGGTCAGTGAGAAAGTACACGTATCACATAGATCTATTGGATCTCACCTCGGCATCCACCTCTTGGATTGGAAGAGTGAGAGGGAGGCCAAGATTTACGGAGGCAGCGCAGTCCATCTGATATGCGCACCAGAAGGCTCGCTTTCGCAACTCTAAACGCAGAAGGTTGGTCCGAAGATGGAACCTCTTGACGTTGCGGTGATAGCCAAGTTCAATGCACTGGCGAAGAGCAAGTCCTGAAAGATTCCTGTTGAGGGTATCTTAGTCATGCCTCATGGTTTATGATCGGCTAGGTTTGTTGGTGAACTGACCACACTGACGGGCCAGTAGCAGACCTGATAGAGAATAGTGCACAGCATAGCAAAGCCTGAATGGATTCAAGGGTTTTCTGTGAGAGAACACTTTCCAAGTGCAACAGCGCTGAGGCATAGAGTTGCTAAAACAGCATTATATTTAGATTTATGCGATCCATGTTGGCGCATTTGAATCGGTGACTGACCTGTGAGAGCAATTTGGGATTCGACTTCAACAACGCGCCAATAGCATAAACCTGCCTAGTCTTAGTGGTAAAACCTACGGGAAGAGGCCAATTCAATGACTTGATCCCACATCACTCACCATGTTGACGAAAAACAACTCGCTTGGAGTTGGAGACTTTGACTCTAGTCCCGCCGCATTTCTCTCCCACTGCCTAAAAGTAGGTTCATGCAGGAATGGGTATTGCAAATGAACGTTATCAAAATAAGCATTGCTCAATAGCAGTCCCACTTCATATCGTGGTAGCCGGCACGGTGATACTGACGAGTTCATCTCACCCGTATGTAAGTCGAAATGGTCATTAGGGTTGCTCTGTGCGACCTGACGTACGCAGGCGTGAATTATCCGGGAGAACGAAAACATCGACGACGAACCGAGGTATTGTGGTTCGGCACCGGAAGCATGTAGACTCAAGATGCCTGCCTTGGAAACAAGATCAGCAGCATCATCCTGGTCACCCTGATTACCGCTCGGAGTATCCGTAGACTGCTCAGAGATGACAGATGAGGAAGGTAACCCAGACACAGAAGACGATTGACCTTGCTGCTGCAGCATGCCTTCCAGAAGCTGAATGCGCTCTTCTAAAGTCTCAACGTAATTCCGTGGGAGGTGCCGCTTGGTGGAGGAATCTTCCACGAGACATGCTAGCGGCTGTTGAGCATGCGCATGCACTAAAAATCGGCGTTCCAGGGGACTTGACTTACCAATGGCCAGACGACTGCAATTGGCGCAGGATGGGACTTGGTCATCGCACTAGTGATCTGAGTCACTGGAAATCCAGATGAAAATGCTGGTGCAGAGTATCCCTGATCGAGTTTACCTTCGGTTTCCTTTCTTTACAGCCGATGCAAGCTCCTTGGGCTCTGGTGCGTGTTCGACGCGGAGGACGCGCCGGGCGTCTTTGGCGATCGCTCATCTGGCGCAATGGTTAGCCTGAGGGGCCAGTAAAAAAGCTGCGTAAGCTGAGTACGCCATAGTCAGAGTCATTTAGCCCTTAAATGGCCTGGACTTGCTTTTTTGTTTGGGGTTCAACCTTTCCAAAGCTGGATCCTGGCTGAAGGACTGTTGGTCGCTGAGGTTTTGGAGGAGGAAGATATTTTGCAGCAATGGGAGACTCAATTCGCTGTCATACACTCCGTTGCGTTGACAGCGTCCACCCCGCAGTTTTTAGCCCGAAAAAGGCAAAAAAAGGGGCTTTTTACCAAAAAACCACCAAAACGCCCTAAACTTCGTACACTGATACCTCTATGCGTACGTAATGCGTGTAAATGAAATATATATCAATCGATAGCCCTCGATTAGGTGATTATAATGATATCTTTTTTATTCTCGCGCATTGCGTCCGCATAGAGTTATCTAAGTGTGAAGTTAAGGCTAATTTTAAGGGGTTTTTAAGGAGGACACTGTGAACACTACGTACAAGGGGTTTCGTTTTTTCTTTTCAGCGTTGCGTTTAGTGTCCGCTAGCCTAAAAACCCCCTAAAACCCCCTAAACTTCACGCTTAGATAACTCTATGCGTACGCAGTGCGCGTAGATAAAAAAGATATCATTATAATCACCTAATTGAGGGCTATCGATTGATATATATTTCATTTACACGCATTACGTACGCATAGAGTTATCTAAGTGTGAAGTTTAGGGGGGTTTAGGGGGTTTTTGGGCTAGCGGAAAATTTTCCTTCCGGGTCAAACTTGGGGGCGGACGCTGTCAACGCAACGGAGTGTACACAATGCATTGATAAGGGATTTGGAGCCATGATTGGTGCTATCTTCCTTATCTCGCCGCCATGTCAGGGATTATTAACTTGGCACAGGTCGTTGAATTGGCGCCTTACAGCGTTCAGACTACACTAAATCTAGCACGAGCTCGTGGTAATGTCCTTGACTCAGCATGACACTAAGTACAACTACCCCCAAATGAAAGCCATCGAACTCCCGACCACATGTGTCCCGTCAGACCAGACAAGCCTTCCTTGAGACTTAGCATCGGCACCGGGTGATGAACCCAAGGTGGCGGAGACGACGAAGCTCTGTTTCTCGCCCGCATCGCTGAAAGTGAGAGTCTCAGGGGTGACAGCAACCTTGACCAGTGCGGGGTCAGTGAGAGAGACGTCAACCTTGTAAGTACCAGCACCTCCGACGTTGGTAACGGTGCGCTTGAACGTGGCAGTGTAGGACCCGTTTGTAGAACTATCGTAAAGGGCAGAGAAAGAAGGATAATTAAGGTCGTAGACGCTGTATGTTTGGTTGGAGGCGCAGGTAAAGTTGCTTCTTGTGATGCCGTTGGTAAAGGCAGATGTGCTGTTGACCGCGCAGAGAAAGTTAAGGTAGTCATCCGGAGAAATGTCGTATATGAGGCCCGGGTTCAGAGCTGCGACAGGGTCAACGTGGCCGTTTCCGTAATCGAATACAGAGGCCGCCTTATCGTTGGCAGAGTCTAAAAGAGGAGACTGGGTGCCCTTCGTCGTGGTGTATGCAGTAGTCATGATGGCCGACCGGATGGCTGCAGGGCTCCATTCAGGGCGCCGGGCAAGAATGAAAGTAGCAATCCCAGACAAATGCGGGCAACTCATACTTGTACCGGAAATCAAGTTCCAGTCAATCTTTCTTGTGTCAATGTCAAGTCCGGTCGGACCGGTGCCAGACCACCCAGCCAGGATAGAGACGCCTGGGCCAGTGATATCCGGCTTGAGAAGACCGGGAACCACAACGTTAGGGCCTCTAGAGCTGAAAGATGCCATGAGAGGAGCCGGAACACCCAATCTAGTACCTTCAAAGTCGATCACTGCCGTCCCATTGCCCGTCTTTGCGTAGGCTTCAACTTCAGATCCGTCTGAATAGCCAAGGTGCAGAGCAGGAAGAATATGGGCATCAGCAATGGTACCATCGCCATCGGTTTCGGAGTTGACAAGTACCATCGCACGACCTCCAGCAGACTTGACGACGCCGCCCTTCTCTGTCCTTCCGTTCTGGCCCCTGACGCAGACAACTGCCTTGCCGGCCACCTTGGCAGGATCAAGACTGCCCGCCAGGCAGAGTGACGCTGTTGTGGCATTTCCTTTGCCCGCTTGACTACCGTGAATCAGAGGAAGCACCTCTCCGTCGGCTAACGGCTTGATGTCTGTCACTGATCCGTTGCTGTAAAGAGAAAAGCCGGTGTAGTTCTTGCCGTTGCCGAGTGTGATGTGGGCAGGAAAATCACGGTCCAACGTGCTGGCGGCGACGTTCAAAACCCATGGGGCAAGGTTCGTGACGGTCCCAGGTCCTGGGCCGCTGTTTCCAGCCGACACAGCAACAAAGATGCCCTTCTTCATAGCTGCATAGCTGCCAACCACGATACCCTCCTCCTCATTGAAGGTTGGCTGATCGGGGCCCAGCGACAAAGACATGACGTTCACTCCATCCGCGATCGCTTGGTCGAAGGCCGAGAGAATATCGGAATCGAAGCAACCCTCCTTCCAGCAAACCTTGTACATAGCGATGCGTGCATCCTTGGCCATGCCACGAGCTGTACCAGAGGCTTGTCCAAACAAGCTGGCGTTAGGGACTTCATTGCCGGCAGAGGTAGTCGAAGTGTGGGTTCCGTGACCGTCTTCATCCCTGGGAGACTGAGACTCTCCAGTCCAGTTGAAAGCTCCAGTTCCGTTGGTGACAGCGGCAACGTATCCCTTGTAGAAGGCCCTGGCGCCCACAAGCTTCTTGTTGCAGCTCGTGGCCGGGAAGTCTGGGCCAGTCTCGCATTCGCCCTTCCAGTGGGAAGGGACGGGAGGCATGCCATCGTCCTTGTAGCTTGGGTTTTCGGGCCAGACTCCAGTGTCAAAGATGCCGACGACCAAGTTTGACTCGGCGCTTGTACCGTTCACGTCGTCACGCGCGTCGAGGTACATGCCCGTTTCGACGCCGGGGCTGCGACCAAGCAAAGCCTCAGAGTCAAGCAGTCCTAGAAACGCAGGAGTACGACTGGTGTGGAGGTGGTAGACCTTGTCCGGTCTGACGGAGAGAACATCTGGTTGTGCCCTCAATGCATTGGCTTGATCATCGGTGATTTTGGCTGCATACCCATTGATGGTGTGTTCATAGGTGTAAAGGACCGCAGCAGGGTCGGCAGAGACAGATTGTAAAGAAGTGTCAATGAGAGACCTGCGGAGGAGGCCGCTTGCCTGTGTGTCGCGCATCGTGACAATGTACGTTTTCTTCAGTTCAGCCCCTGAAGCAATCCTTGTGAGGAGGGAGCTTAGGAGCAGCAGCCAAGAAGTTCTCGCCATGGTGTTTGTGCGCGACAATCTGATGTTGTTTGGACCCGAGAGTCTGGTCAGAAGATGCAACTGTTACATGCAGCTCGGAAAGACCTTCAATACATATAGTTCACTCCTATTGACCACCATTCCGGGACCAGATGCCCCGTCAAGAAGAGAGTGAGCGCATTTCCAATGCACAAGCCCCTATTACTAGCAGTAGAGTTCTCGTATCTGAAGATCCCGACTGAGCCGAGATGGACTGAAAGTCCGCAGGTCAGGATTGGTGCATATTCAGTTGCATTCTACCTCCCTCTTTTGATTCTGAAGTTGACGGGCCAAAGCTTATCAGAGTAGTTCCAGGGGTTCGTCCTGCTGCTATTGGCCGGACGTCACGCCAACGCTCGTTATGGCAGTCGGCAAATACTCAATTAAAGTGTCAGATAACCTTAATTTCGAGAACTAATGTTCATCCGACACCGCCGCGCCTTAGCTGTGATCACGTATAGGCGGCTAGCTTATCCGGCTCTTAGCTGAGTTCATGCATTTATTAAGCACTGGCCACCGCGGCACTTTGACTTCGCCAGGCGGGCAAATAAGGAATTGAAACCACGTGGAATCCCTCCGCTTTGTAGCAATTAGTAGGCGAAAGTTGAAGGTCAATCGTGTCCGTGGATCTCATTTATTTGGGTTCATATCTCCTCAAAGGAACCTGTCCCCATCGCATTGAGTTTGCCGACACGTCTCGGTATGATGCCAAACAGATTCATGGATATCACAGCGCTCGAGGCTCAAACTGTCTCCGGGCGAAGTGACGGTACATCAAGCGAAAGCGAAACCTCCACTTCTTCCCAAAGACGATAAATAGCCCACTTCCGAACAGAATGGCAGTGATTAAGACGCCAATTGTGACGTACACAGTCTGAACTCCTGAAAAAGCGATCCACTGAGGTAAAGCGAAGATGATGATGAAGGAGCATATGTTCCGAACGAAGGTAACTCCGACCATAGCATCGCCAACAATCTAGCAAGTAGGGTGTGTCAGCAGTTGTTTTCACTCATCGTGCAGGAAAGAAATTTGCTTACTTCTGTGTAGGCATCTGTTATGTACGTCAAGGATATGGTCCCTGCTGGAGCTGTTCCGAAACTGCACATGGCATAGCTCACAGCGAGGGCGGGCCAAGACCAGCCGTTACTGAGCCCGACACCAAACAATATAATGCCAATCGGCGCGAATGGTGCAAATGCTGCCATAACCCAGAGTCGCATTTCTGGCTCATAGATTCCCTTATTGCGTTTGGAAGCGAACAGAATCCACCAATCGCTGAGCGGACCACAAAGTAAGGTTCCCAGGGTCGACCCTGTGAAGGGAGCCAGACTCATCAAACCTATTTGGTCAGGATCGAAGTTGTATGGTGCCCGCGTCATCCAATTCGACATTGTTGTGACTAGAATGTTGGATGAGATCATCATCGCACCATAGACGAGAGACATGTACAAAACGCCCGGTACCGAGAACAAGATTTGAAATGGTTGATAGCAATGACGGGAAAAGGTGCGAAATGAGCCGGGTGATGAAGTCGTGAGTGACAGGCGCTGCCTGTAGCTCTTACGTTGAATCTCGTTGCCAATGGATTGGCCGTTCGGCTTGAGGCTGGTCCTCCTGTTCGATGGAGAATTTCTATGTAAGTCAGGACTTTTGGGGTTCTCGTCGACTTTTCCTCTACCCCCATCAGAATGGCTAATGCCACTAATTGGAGGCAAGATGAACTTCGTCTCCTCGTAGCCAAACACCATGGCCAGCAAAAGCAAACCAAAGAAGATGGCAATCCACCACCATACCCAGCGCCAACCTTGAGACGTTGTCACATAGCCAGCCGCCAAGGGCGTGAGTGAGGCCCCTATTCGAGTTGACCAAAAGAACAAAGCATTCATGGTGCCCCGCTGGTTGACGAAGAATACGTCGGCCACGGTCATTTGCACAACCACTTCAGCGAGGGCGCCCACGAAGCAGCTTATTATGTTGACCATCATCAAATCTGCCACCGTTTGCTGGTGTGCAGACCAGATCGTTACACCGAACTGAATGGCTGTGCTGAGGATGTAGACTGGTCGCCGGCCATACTTCAATGCGAACGGATTCAAGATGACAGCTCCTATGGCAAGAGCACCACAACCTACAGCATAGCTGGTGTTGAGAGTGTCGTAGCTGAAGCCCAATTGCTCATGCATAGGAGCCCAAGTCGGAGTGGCCGCGTCGATACTGAGGTCTTGTTAGTGGCGGGCCGGCAGCGTGTCAAAGCCGGGAATGTCAAGCATACAGTGCAAACACCATCAAGGTGTAGAAGGCGGCCAGGCCAAAATTCCAAAATTTCAAGGGTCTGGGCCAATTCTGATATTTTGGTAAGTCATAAAGGGGTCAACAGGGATTGAACTAATGTAAGGTGGAACTCAGCTGCGGCGACTTACCAGAGGGTCGTTAGGGTCTCGTGATGGTAGCGGCTGTGGAATGATCTCCATAGAGCCACTTTCCTCTAGAGGAAACGCTTTAGTCTGTTGTCTGGACGTCTAGAACCGACAAGAAAGATGATGATTTACCTTCCAGTCGCACGGTACCGGGCGGCCACGCGGGATCATCATGTTCCTCAGTAGAAGCCATCTGTAACACAGTTGCTCAATAATGCCCTGCTGTGATTTATGAATGTCCAAGAGGTCTGATAACTTGTTGTTTCTAGATGTGGTGTGGCGAGGTCAACTCCAAGGAGCGAAGAAGGTGAGTCTTTTGCACAGGTAATTGCCGGACTTTAAACAAATATCCTGATGCATGGTATGATCAGCAGCCTGACAGTTGTAGAATTAAGCATTATGATATCTCGCCAAGAAACCTGTGTCAGAGAAGATGGCATCCCCGTCAATATTGAGATAAGACGGACGCTATCGCAACGCTTGTGATGAATGTTAGCCCCGCAGAACAGCGCGGGGTGACGCTGATCCTCGCTCTCTAAAGGTAGAAGGTTTGCTACATCTCGTTACATGTTTCCGACGGGCCGGTGGCACTTGGAGGAGAGTCGAAGTAGCTATCGGGTGTACCCGAGCTCGGCTTCCGATTCGTTGCAATATGACGCTTGGATTGGAGATACTGCATCATGATGGAGCACTCGGACGACAGTTTGGTTTTCATCGACCAATAGAATTCCGCGATCTTAGTCTTGTGCATCGGTTCTTCCCGGCGCAATTTCCGATACGTGAACGTTGCGCGGCAGTCCTGACCCCCGACCGGTCACGACCAGTGTGCCCACTTCAAGAGCAGTAGTCGGGTCAAGTACTGCAAGAAGAGTCACTTGTGGCAGGTTCAGTAGGGGAAGCATCGGCAAAAACACCACATATTGCCGCTTCGCTTCGACGCTGTGGGTACCGGACTAAGTTCAATTAATCAGATGATATTGTCATAGGTATGATCCCCTCGGATATCAAGACTGATGGTCGAGTTCATAACAAACGCTCATGTCCTGCAAAGATTTTCATGGACGTTTCCATGTCGTGATTTTCGTTCTGATCTACAGGAACACTATGGCTGTTGAAACCGCTCCTTTGGCCAAAGACGACCATGTTGTCGTGGTCGGTGCTGGCATCTTTGGGCTCAGTACCTCTATCCACCTAGCGGGGCGCGGATACACCAACATCACTCTCTTGGATAAACAGCCGTATGAAAAAACTCATTATTCCTATTTCGAAGGCTGCGATGCTGCATCTGCAGGTGAGATATGCGAGGATACGTTTGATCGTTCTTCTTGGTTAACCTGTACTCTAGATATCAACAAGATCATTCGTTCCGCTTATGGCTCTCAGACTATCTACCAAAACCTGAGTTTTGAGGCAATTCAATATTGGAACTCATGGGCTGAAGAGCTTCGACAAGGAGGAGAAGCTGTGCCTCCGGGAATGAGCGCTACGGACGACCTCTGGATCAACAATGGCGATCTCTCGTGTACCGACGGCGACAGTTTGCCGGACTCCGACAAAGCGACAATTGATAGCATGGAGAGGGCCGGTCATGGAGATACTCAACTCGTCAACGACAGTCCACAGGACTTGGAATCTGCAACGAGAAGGGGCTTTCTTCCAATGATGCACCCATTCTCCAAGAACCTTCTGGGAGTGCTGGACACCACTGGCGGTATTACTTTGGCCGATAGAGCCTGTCGTTTTGCTTTGCATAAGGCAAAACGTCTTGGTGTTCGACTTGTTCTCGATCCAACGGCTGGAAAGGTGGATTCCTTGATGGAAGGTCAGGGGTCCGATATCATCGGTGTGCGCACCACGGATGGAAAGTCACATAAAGCTGCCCTAACGATCATTGCGAGTGGCGGATGGACTCCAACCTTGGTTCCTTCTCTAGATGGGCTTGCGGAGACAACTGCAGGGTCTGTCGTCATGTTGAGCGTCCCAGAACATCTTCGTGGACGTTTTGCCCCTACACGCTTCCCAGCCTGGTCATACAAGATTGGTGATGGTGCAGAAGGCGGACTGTACGGCTTCCCCGTGGATGAGAATGGTGTACTGAAAATTGGGTACCGCGGCACTAAGTACACCAACCCGAGAATGCAACCAGATGGCATAGAGCGCAGCATGCCAGTTACTCGATGGACCGAAGATGAAACAATTCGTCAAATCCCTACCCAGGCACTCGAAGTCATACGAAGATTCATCAACGAATTTCTTCCAGAGTTATCAGGCATCGACATCCTAGCAACGCGTTTGTGTTGGTATACTGACTCATTTGACAACCATTTCATTATCGATCGAGTGTCCCAGAAGAAGGGCCTCATGGTTGCCACAGCTGGAAGCGGCCATGCCTTCAAATATCTGCCCACAATTGGCAACTGGGTGGTGGACATTATTGAAGGAGTGGGTTTGGACAGACCGGCGGTGAAGGCGTGGAAATGGAGGTCTCTAGACGATGACAGCACGCCTGTCAACCAGCTCATGGAAGGTTCTCGTAGTAGTCGTGCTCTTAAAAACATAGAGCTGGCGCCAGGTGTTGCTCCTCCTGGGCCAAAGCTATGAGCTCTTGGTGGACCCAATTCCAGAAGAGTCTTGCTATCCGGGCGGATAACTACCTATACTAGGTCTGAGAGTTAATTTGATCTCAATTCACTTTTATTATTTTCGTCGCTATTCCTGTCCCTCTCTCTGTCCCTATTATTATCGTCGTCGTCGTCGTTATTTTCATTATCCCTATCGTCATACATCTACTACCCACCCGGTTAGCTAGAAGTATCCGCCCGGAAAGCAAGACTCTTCCAGAGTTCTGTGTTCTTCAATCTCTGGCTCACATATCATTGAATTATCTAGATGATATAAAGTAAGACAAAATAACACAAATGATGGATAGATAAAGAATAGGCAACAGCAAGCGCAACGGGGACAATCAATAATGATAGTCGTGCACGTCCAAGATGCATCCAACATGACGAGCAGTGCGAATTGCCGTAAGTTTCAACTCAACTGGCCCCCGTGGACCTCTCTGTTCCAATGGTCCAGGTCTGGTTTCGCATTCAGCTCTGGACAATTACAGGGTTTGGCAGGCAGAGCATTTCTGAGGCACAGCAAGGGAGCAACATAAGCACTAACTCACGAAGGGCAGCAGTGGCTGCAATGTTTCTGATTTACTCCAATGAAGCGTGTATTGCAAGATTGACGCGCTGGATTGAGTCGGCACCCGCTCACGAACGACCACAAGGATACGAAGCCAAGAGCCCGCCCTTCGGATGCAGCATGATATAGCAGACTGTGTGTTCAAATTTGATCGCCATATGAACACAATCGACAGTTTATTGCGTATTTCGCGTGCATGTTTCCGAGCAACGGACGTTTCTGTACCGTAATGTGGGTACTATCGCCTTCCATGTGATGACGGTAAGGGGGCGGGGGTTATTTAGAGATCCATTTAGCGGGGAGGATAACTTTTGTGAAATGACGCTGTTTGGAAGGGACTTCAACCAAACCGCAACTTCTCAAAATGCCTACATCTGATGTAGTGTGTTATGCGGCTGCCTGCATGAAGGCAGCCACCAACCCTAACTAGTGATGTGGCATCAGAAAGCTGAATCGTTCCTGGCCATAACGCATCCCTGAAACACTGAGCCACCAAACATAAAACCAGCTCGATGGAGAGGCAAATCCTCACTGCGCCAGGAATCCTCATTCATCAAGCCTCGCGGTCAGAAAGCCGTAAATCCCGTCCAAAATGGCTCAGACAACACACGGAGCACACAAGCGGCTCATCATTTGCCCCGATGGAAAATGAATAGACTCACGGGGAAAGAAAGGGTAAGCCAGAAGAGCCGTTCAATCCATTTAGATTTGATAGTCTCATGCAGTAAACATAGGGCTGGGCCTCAATCCAACGTCACGCGAATCTCACGAGTCCTCCGAAGAACCTGCCATGACGGCACCCACCAGATCATCATGTATTATTCCAGGCGTCGGGAGTTCGCATAGTTATGCAGGTTATCTAGACAAGTTCACCGGTGGCCTTCTGGGGACTGGACTTGCTCAGGTACGCCCTTTCCGTTATGAATCAAAAGTTTCCACTTCTGACGACCAGCATCCAGAATATCAGAGAAGACAACTTCATCTGCGCCAACTATGTTGACGGAGACGATATAGTCCTTATCGGCTTCCCTCGGGGGGCATTCACTGCGCGCTCTGTTGCCAACATGATTGCAACAGTCAGCTTACTGACGCCATCGGGGCTAGGCCACTTCTACGCGGTGTTCGAAGATTATGAGAGCATGACTGACGTGAATCGCGATCTCACTCTCTTCCTGGATCCCCAGGTTCTGCCATATGACGGCGAGAAAGTAAAAGCCAAGCGCGGGTGGGAAAAGAAGCGAAAGCTGCAGTATGAGGAGTGGCTTACAAAGGTAGGTGTGCTCCAAAGTAGTGCAATCTAGATGGTGGCTTACACCAACAGAATGGCTACACTAGACACAAATACCAAGATGGTACGACGGAGATCAAAATCAAGGCGATCGGTGTCTGTATTCTGTTGGAACACCGGGCATCTCCCCAGCGCCAGTCATCGGTTTATGCTGATCCTCCAAACAATAAATTACCCATCTACTAAGCGTGAGACTTCTGCTGACTTCATGTACATGGAAACTCTCAAGTACTCAGATCTCAGATCACGTAGAGAATGCATTCCATGCCCTTCCTCTTGATGAGCCCAGGTATGCATTCAGGCCAGCTCTTTGGGAAAGGCTTGACAACATCAAGACAAATCTCAAACAGGTGTGGTTTCCCGAAAGTCATAACACTTTTGGAGGCGGATGACACGAGCAGCAAATTCCCAACATATCTCTCGCCTGTACGTGCTTTTTTTTGTGATTGAGAAATGAGTGGAGCAGACATTCAGCTGACATACGCAGGGATGTGTGACTAGTCATCGAGTGTCGGCATTGAGTTTGACCCACGCCGCATGGAGGCCATCTTCAATCAAGGTCTTCGGTACTCTGTAGGTCATCCGTTCTCTTGCGTACCTCAAGGCTCATGGGTTTCATGGCGGTCGGCGAAGAAGTTCCTCCCATGGGCTAAGCCCGAGATCAGTGCGGCGAAGATCTCCAGTGTGAAGCGCGATGCGGCTGAACGTAATGGCAAGGATTCTCAACCGGCAGGCAGCGAGGAAGATCTCTGGAAGCTTGCCCGACCTTGGGGACTAGGCCTAATGCGAGACCCTGGCGGCCGCCTCCAAACCATTGGCGGGATCACAGTCTGACATCCTGGAATCTTCAAGCGTACTTACCCAGATAGAAACCAAGACAGCGGCGAGGCTCTGCTGAATACCAACCAAACAATCCACAGTAGCGTTCGCGTCAGGTTAGCCTGCCAAGGGCTTGCTCTTGACGATGCAGAGATCTGGGACTGCAAGCCCCTTACCCGGGCGGCGGACGGCAGTGCGCTCTGGAAGCTAGAGCGCGGGTCTGGCTTGACCGCCTCCGAACTAAATCAGATCAAAAGCTTCAGACCCAGGGAGTCGGATCTTGGTACGGGCGAGTTCGACAGAAAACTCTATCCGGTTAGGGACAGGGTCGGGCAATGGCGGTGGGTGCTTGTTGATAAGCGCCGTGGGGCTGTGTCTCTGAAAAGGTCTTACCTCAGAAGCCTGTGACGGGATACTGTGAACGGTATCTTCTTGCTTTGACGGCGGGAAAACCCGATGTGTGGAGATGGGTGGAAGAAAACCCTCCCTTGGACGCCGCGGGATCTAAGGCTTGATCTAGGTCATCTTGTCTCAGTCAGTGGCGCTTCGGAGGCGGTGCCAAGTAAGGAACAAGGGTCTGAACTTACGCATACGGTTGAACGTCCTGTCGATCACTGCTTCCTCAGAATGACGGCAAATCAAAAAGTTTTCTCCTGAGTGATCGGCAGTCCTAATGCTTACTCCCACGTTTGACCTCACGTTCCACGACAACGGGCAGCAACATGCAGGCCACACTCACACCACGAGATGTCCACGAGAGAAGACCTTTCTGCCAGGAGTTCAAAGGAAATCACCGAAATTGCACAGGGACTCCATCTTAGACATGATTGCGGTACTTCCTCAAACAGTTGGAAACCGATTTGCGCAATATGAGGAAATTTAAGGTATGGCTGCATGCGACCATTTGACTACACTTTCGTCATAAGCAAGCCACGGCAATAGGCCTCGTCCACTACTAACGGGATCTACCGACCATCTGCTAGAAAGAAGTCAAGAGCCATGTCTCGGAAACGGACTCCAGATTGGTGGGCTAGCCAGCATCAACGGCCATGTGCGATCTTGGCGTGCTCCTCCCGTCTCGGCCGTGAGCCATCTCCGGGACCAGACCCAGCCATCCGGGAGGAGCTGTTTTAGAGCTCAAAGGTTGTTGAGCTTTCAGCTTCAGCCAAGTTGGTGATAGAACAAACGCCTGGGCTGGAAGTTGGTGATCACGTCAAGCTCACCTCTAGACATTGACTGTTTTCGGCCATTGAAGCTGCCTGCAACGGGAATATCTTAAGCTTCATCGTGAGAATCACGACGAGGAACAGTTATAAAATTGGACAAGAATTCCTTTCTCAAGAGCTCTTTTTTCTTCACCAGCAACAAACCAGCTCAGGTCTTCAATACTATTACTACTACCACCTCTACTCTCTTAATTAATACTTAATACTCATAATACCTCCTCTTATTCCTAATTTTAATCAATACCTTTTTCACTCTTCACAATGTCTACCATTCGCAGCATCACCACTCTTGCTCTCGCCCTTGGCGCCGCGGCAGCCCCTCAGCTTGTTCAATTCACTCCGGTTCAGCCTCCCAAACCCGACGTCCCGAAGGTCCACGCTCCCAGTGTCACCCCTCCGGCATTCCCCACGATTGAACCCACGGCCCCGACTGTCCCGCCGATCAACATCAACAAGGACCTAATCCTCGAGCCGGCTTTGCCGAATGTGGAGTTGAAGGGCCCGAAGGTAGCACGAGACCTTCCGGTCAAGCTCACTCCGCAAGGCCTTGAGATCTCGGTCAGCGCCCCCATCGTCGTGCCCACCGCCGGCGCGGGTCTTCCGGCACTGGCTCCTCGCGAGGATGACTTCCCAGTCGACCTCAACGCGATCCAGCCACCCAAGCCTGTTCTCCCAAACGTTTCCACTCCAACCCTGTCTGTCAAGATCCCTGACGTCGTCATCTCCTACCCAAAGGTTCCCAATGCTCCCAAGCTGCCTCGCCGCAACATCAAGATTCCCGAGTCCGTCATCCCCACCCAGTCCGTGGATCTCCAAGCGATTAGCAGCATCATCTCAGCCCTGGGTGGCCTCGTCACTGCCCGCAACGCTGAGCCTCAGCCTGCGAATGTGGTGCTCGATCTTCCCGCAGCCACCAGTGTTCTCTCTGTTCTTGGCGACATCAAGGCCTCCGTTGCAGCTCGCGAGATACCGACGCCTCTTCCTGTTGTCAGCTCGGTTCTTTCTGTCTTCAGCGACATCAAGGCCGCGATCATTCCTCGCCAGACACCCGATGTGCTTCCTATTGTCAGCTCTATTGCATCAGTCGCTGGCGGTGTCAAGGCCGGCATCATTGCCCGCGAGACTCCCGAGGTGCTCCCCATTGTGAGCTCGGTTCTGAGCGGTGTCAAGGCTCCCGTTTTTGCCCGCGAGACTCCTGAGATCCTTCCAATCATCAGCTCGGTTCTCAGCAGTGTCAAGGCCGGAGTTCTTCCCCGCGAGACTCCTGAGGTGCTCTCCATCGTCAGCTCGGTTGTTGGCGGCATCAAGGGTCCCGTTGTCGCCCGCGAGACTCCTGCCGAACTCCCCATTGTCAGCTCTGTTGCCTCTGTCGTCGGCGACATCAAGGCCTCGCTTCTTCCTCGTGCGCTGCCAGTTGAGGTTCCCAGCACCACCGTCGACATCGCCGCTGTCAAGACTGTCATGGCCGTCTTGAAGAGCATCATCGACTCTCGCGATCTCGCGGCCGTTGGCGTCACCATTCCCAGCGTCACCGTCGAGGTTCCTATTGTCAGCTCTGTCCTCTCTGTCTTGAGCAACGCCGCAGGCACTGGGCTGCCCATCAAGGCTGCTCGCGGCACCCTCCCCGAGGTTCCCGCCGCTGTTGTCGCTGTCGGTGTTGACGTTCCCGCCTTCACCGCGACCGTTCCCGTGCCGGTGCCCGTTGCTGCCCGCACCGCGATCGACCTGCCGCTTAGCACTCTCATTCAAGTCCCTTCCATCAGCAAGACCATCGAGCTGCCCGCTGTCCAAACCCCTGAGTTGAAGGGCAAGTTCACCGCAGGCAAGCGCACCACCGCTGGAGTTATCGGCGATGTCCAGGGAAAGATCGACGAAATCCTGTCTGCTGTTCCTCAGTAAACAGTCAACAAGTTATTCGACAAAAAGCAAGACGAACACCGGAGAATAGGAGACGGGGGGTGGCTTGGCCGGCAGATGTACCCCACACAAAGATTGAAAACAAGGGAGGCCGCGGTAATGGGAACTAATAGGATCGGCGCTTAAGGAACGTGAACTTATAATTAGCGGGGGAAATAATTGGTAATTGGGAAAAGTGTTAAACTCTAAAGGAGCCCCTGAGGCATGAATCTATTAATTGCTTAGAAGCTAATTGAAAACCATCATCGCCCACGAAAATGTGCCAAGTCGCGCTGATCATCTTCGCCCGAACGTGCCGCACGGTGATTACTACACATGACTCCCATCAAAAAGGTCTGTTCCCTATTCCCTGGCCGTAATACGGCCGTCCGAGAGTCCGTCTTTCACGTTGTTTTAGAGTTAGGCCCTCCTGATGATATTATTGGGGCGCGCCAACGGCGTCTCCTAGCAATTACTCTCAAACCGCCAAGTGGCACTGGACCTGAGTCGCTCCAAACTCTGCGCCTTACGAAGGCCTCTCTGAGCCATAAAGGCCAATGGTCTCCCGCCTTACTGATCAGTGTCGTTGATGCTTGCCACCCAACTCCAATCGGTCAATCACTCTCTTTAAACCAAAGTCCAACTCAACCAGTCAGTCTTTTAGTCATTCGTTTCCCACAACAACAATCCATCAACATGATGTTCATTCACTCCTTCATCGTCGCTCTCGCTGCCCTCGGCGCTTCTGCCGCCCCGGCTCCGCAAACCTCCGGCACCCCCGACGCCCCGGCGGAGGACCGCTGCTCCGGCGTCACCTGTCCTGAGAACTCATACTGCAAAGTCTTTGACTTCCGTCTCGAGAAGCCCGTGGCTTGCCAGGCGAACGGCACCGTATCAGAGGAGTCCCAGGCGTGTGGTAGCGTCATCTGCCCTATCGGCACGACCTGCTGCAACTCATCCTGCGGCGTCTGCGCCAAGCCGGAGGAGTCGTGCCTTCAATGGGTTTGCTAGTGGTCGTTCTTGAGCGGCACTCGGAATCACCAGGCATCTTTCTCAAGCGGAGTTGAGGCGTTTAGGACGGTCTACTCATAACAACAAATCGGTCGCGATTACCGTCGCAGAGTTGGCAGCATTGCAAGGCCCCCAGCAAGATATCCCACGACAAATTGAAAATTACTTCCACGCAACAATTCGCAGTGCAAATCGTGAAATTTCTTGATGATGAAAATGACTTTCTTGGCGACCCATGTCACAAATGAGGACGGGGTACGCGGTGCTTCTTTCGCTCTTTTGGCAACGGCCTCACCGAAGCAAATAATGAGGGTCAGTGCGGAGTCCTTGGCATGGATTTGAAAACGTGCGGCGATGCAAGCCGTCATTGGATTCAATGTAGACTGCGAGAATACTTCAAACGCTCCTTCTTTCAAGATGTTACATCTGTCACAAATCAGCCACTCCCAATGGTCCATGAAGAGAGTCCCCCCTTCCTTTTGGCGATGACCGTAAACTCGAGGGACCAAAACGCTGGAAGGGGTAAACCCCACAATCCGGAACTCATCTGAACTGAGTCGTCTGATGTTCACTCGTATGCTAAGCCTTAGTGATGGGGAACTCTGGTGTCTGGGTCATCCCTGTCTCCGCATAGTACCTCTCCCAGTGATTGACAAGCCGGCGCATCACCTCGGGCTCTTTGTCTGACACATCGTTCATCTCGGCCGGGTCCTTCTCAACGTCATATAGCTCCCAATCGTCCTTTCCCCTGGGCTTATTGAGCCAGACTGCCTTCCACTTGCCCTCGCGAATGGCTCTGAGACCGAAAAGCTCCCAACCGTGAACATGAACATCCTCTCCATGCACTGTCGAGTCGGCTGCGGAGTAGTCTGGGGAGGACAGGTGGGACACCCAGGACTTGCCGCGGGGTATGACGACTTCGCGGCCCCTGAACGAGGTTCCGGGATGCTGCACTTGAGCCATTTCTAGGATGGTAGGGAGAATGTCCATGACTGTCGTGAAACGATGGGTGATGGCTTCTTCCTTAGCTTGGAAAGGGGGGTATCTGATGAGACATGGGCATCGAATGCCGCCTTCTGTAATCCAGCACTTGGATCCTCTGGATGGTGCGGTCGCTGCGCAAGCCCATCGGGCTCCTGGGTTCTCGTTAGATGCTACTTTTGGGGGTAAGATGCTGAGGGTGGTTCAAGTCACTCACCGTACCAAGCGAAGGATGATTTCTCCCCGATGTTATCAAGGCTGTTGTCGTAGTACTTTTGAATCACGCCGGCAAAAGTTGTTTCTCCGCCCATCATCTGCGACAATTGTCAGAACGGTCGAGAGACGAGTTTGCGAGAATGACGCATGACTTACGGGAATTGCTTCCAGCGCCGCTCCTTCAGCTCCGTTATCAGACATGAAGAGCACGAACGTGTTGTCGAGTTCGCCAGTGGACTCGAGGTGGTCAATCACGCGGCCGATATTCTCATCGATCAGCTCAACCATCGCAGCAAAGACTTCCATTTTCCTTGCTGACTCCTTGCGCTCAAGGACCGACAAGTCCTTCCAATCCTTCCCCAAAACGCCGGTAGGGGGCGCGTGTTCAATGCCCTTGTCCACAAGGCCTAACTCTACGAGCCGTTGCAAACGCCGTTGGGTCAGAGCATCTGGGCCATCATCGTACTTTCCAGCTGTGATCATTATTAGCAACCATTCACCAGGAAAGGTAATCTTCAACTTACCATACTTCTCGACAACCTCACGAGGAGCTTGTAGGGGCCAATGAGGGGCAGTGAATGGGAGGTAGGCAAAGAAAGGCTCGTCTTTCTCCTTTCCATTCCTCTCTTCCAGGAACTTGATCATGCGATCGGTGAAATACCTTGTCGAGTAAAAGTCCTTAGGGAGGTCCGTTCTGTGGTTGATGAACTTGTTACCGTCCATCCAGTGGCCTTCGGTATTGAGACATGGAATCTTAAACTCGTCGTCGTCAAGCTGAGGCTCGTATGCGTGATGATTCCCAGATCCGGGCAAGAAGGAAAAGCTCTTGGTGAACCCGCGGCTACATGGGGCGAGTTCTTTGGACAAGCCGAGATGCCTACGCCATTGATCAGTATGTATTCAGATGTCTTCAGCACCAACTGGCGCTTGTTCGCACTTACCATTTTCCAGACATAATCGTGTGATAACCGTTGTCCTGAAGAATCTCGGACAGAGCTGCAACTCTCCAATTCAGGTACCCCTCATAACCGGGCTTGTCCTTGAAGTAGTCACCGAAATGCCGCATATGCTCCATCATTTGGCCTGCTCGCTGTCAGTTTATTGTCGGGAAGTCTCTAATTGAGAACGTACCAAGTCCTGCGATGTGATTGTCGGTCCCAGAGAACAGCATTGAGCGAGTGGGAGAACATGCTGATGCCGTGTGAAAGTTTGTCATGCGAATGCCGTCCTTCGATAATTTCTTCAATACGGGTGTGTTGATCTCTCCGCCATAGGGGCTAATATCAGAGAAACCGAGGTCATCGGCTACGATAACCAGAAAGTTTGGTCGTTTGCTTGTCATCTTGGAAGAGCGGGGAGTTCAGGAATTGGAGTAAGCAGATGGCGGGCTGGAAACTGGCGGTGGTGCTGCTCAAGAACTTCTCACCATGGCAAGATCAATGGCGACTAGAGCATTCAAATCCAAACAGCATGTCGCAATCACATTTTAAGCTGACGCAATGACTGCTAGTTCTGATCTGGAAATTATTTTCCTGATTTTGGGGGGGCTGAAACTGCAAGGAAACGGAGTCTGCGCAAGTCGTTCCAAATCCGCGGGTAATTCAAAAGTTATCTCCCCGTGCTTCCCCGTTGACGATAAAAAAAGTGGTGGCATCAACCCCACACTCGAGATCCGCCGAGATCCGGGGGTGGAAACTGCAACAGTATTGTGACCAGTGATGTAGCCCGCTGTATCCTCCTCGTCTTTTCTCTTGACATGCTGTCGAGACGGACATTTGGGTAGCTCAGAAGCCTCTCACATCTGTCACATTCAGACAATCAGCATCGTCTCAGGGGCCCTAGGAAAATCAAAGACAACATGTCTTGCCCGGCACAAATCTCGCAAACTTGCCAATGAAATGTTCCTAGATGAATTTCTTACTCCCTAGAAAATTCGAATGTGTTCTTTGACTGTCCGCAAGCGTAAACCATCATTCTTCGACAAAGGTTGGGCATTGCCCGTTCCTGGCTGGGAGTGTCAACGGGGAAGGACGGGGAGAAATGTCGCTGAGACACGGGCACTATGTCGATTTCGGTTTAGTCCAGAACCTCCTCCTAACACTAGTGGAGGCGCGGACCCATCACGAGGGCAGCTCGCTTGGCATCTCGAGTCGCAACTTCGCACGTTGATGCTGGGTCAACTTCTCCGGCATCCAACTTTCTGGACTTTGAGACCGGCAAATCGTCAATCGAAGTCGTTATGGCGCAATTGCAACCCGGAAAGTTGTGAGATGCCAGCTCTCCGGGATGATCAGTATAAAATCGGCTCGGTCGACTCCTCGCGGAGAGCAAGGCAGTTGAGACGGGCTGGACAACGACAATCTCTCCGGCAAAATCATTCATCATGTTTGGCCATCTGAAGTTGAGAAAGACCTTCAACAGGTCATTGTTCACCACGGTCATGTTGATCGCGGTGTCTCAGTTCAACTTCGGCTTCGACCAACAGGGCTTCAACTCTACCCAAGCCATGGACGCCTTTGAACGCCAGTTTGGGTGGTACAACCCTCAGAAGAAGGTGTACTACCTGGAAAGCTGGTGGCTCTCACTCTTTGCAGGCTTGCCCTACATTGGTTTTGGGATAGGTATGCGAATTTGGCGGTTGTGTGGGGCAAAGCTGAGATTGACAATGGATGTTGATAGGCATCTTGATCGGAAGCTCCGTAAGCAAACGGTTCGGCAGACGCATGTGCATGTTCTCCATGAGCGTATGGTCTTGCATCGCGACTACGGTCATCATGACGTCCAAGAGCCGAGATCAGATACTGGCGGCTCGCATCCTGGCATACATCTACATCGGAATGGAGCTAGCCGTGGTACCCATCTACCAATCCGAGATCACACCCCAGTGCGCCCGCGGTTTTGTCGTCGGGACATACCAACTAAGTCTTGCAGTACGTATTCTTTTTCAAAAATGAACGGACACAATACTGACGTGGATATGTTGTCGCGCGGGGAACGGGTAGTCTGAACTCGTCGGCCGCGTACCTGATCCCATATGGACTCTTCTATCTAGTGCCGCTGATAGTGATAGCTGGCATTTGGTTCGTCCCAGAGGTATGTGCCCCCCCGTTTTAGAGTCTCGCAGCCGGTGGAATGCTGACCTTACTCGTCTACAGTCTCCCAGATGGCTTGCTATGCAAGGTCGAAACGAAGAAGCCCTCATCGCCCTCACTCGCCTCCGCGAAGGCAAGTTTACCGAAGACGAGATCGCCGCTGAAATGGCCCACATTCGCGCCGGGATAGACAGAGAAGTCGAGAAGGGCAAATTCAAGGACATGTTCCATGGAAAGCAAATGACCAAGCGCACCATGTCCGTCATCGGTGTCAACTTCTTCATGCAGGCAACAGGCTCCATCCTCGCCAGCGTATATGGCGCCATCTTTGTCAAACAACTCGGCTTCATCAACCCCTTCACCGTAACGATCATTACATCAATCATCAACATCTTCATGTGCCTGTGCGCAATGGTCTTGCTGGACAAGATGGGACGGAGGTAAGTTTGTGCTCTCATCTGCTGCGCCCCGCAAGGATTCTCCCAGATAGTTGCAAGACCGATTGGCTGACGCGGACACCAACATCGCAGGAATGTCATCTTCTTCGGCGGATCGATTCAGACGGCCGGTCTGTTCGCCATGGGTGGTCTCGGACTCACCCAAAACCCGAGCGTTCCCGTCAAGTCTGCCATCGTCGCCATGATGATTGTCATGACCACTGGCTTCACCCTGGGATGGGCGCCCACTTCGCACGTCCTGTCTGCCGAGATTCCGAGCATGCGTCTTCGTGATATCACGTATCGTACCGCAAGCGTTGTCAACATTGTAATGCAGTTCACAATCGCGTTTACGCTGCCATATCTTCTGAACGCACCATATGCAAACCTGGGGTCAAAGGTCGGTCTGATCTTCGGCAGTATCGGTTTTCTGTCCCTGGTGTTTGTCTATTTGTGCGTCCCGGAGTGCAAGGGCCGAACGCTTGAGGAAATTGATACGCTGTTTGAAATGGAAGTTCCTTTGCGAAAATTTCAGCAGATGGACTTGTCACGGGTGGATGCACACGTCAGCAGTAATAAGCAGGATGTAGAAACAGGGTCAGATGTTGTCATGACCCTCCATGTGGGAAGAAAGGACTAATCCATACAATCCTTGAGGAAGAATCCCTAGCCTAGATGATTTTTGCAAATCACTTATGAAATTTTAGGCACATATTAATCGGAAGAAAAGTGTTTATAAGTCAAAACCGGTTTGATTAAGGCGTCTATCCAATAGCAATCTTCCCTAAACAGTACAGAAATGTTTCCACACAGGCCAGATCCAACTACCAAAGGAGTGACGCTTTCCTCAATACTCCAAAGCACAACCGTAACATCATAAGACTAAATCAGACTACCATTATCCTCCACTTTTACCCGGTGTATCGCAGCGCACTATCTTAACAAGTCATCCAATCATGCATATGTGTATTGTATACCGCTTTGTAGGCAAAGACCCAGCCAGGCAAGGCGTTTAGAGCATGAAAGCGCCGAGGGCGAAGGCGCCAGCAACGGCAAGGCCAGCAGCGCCGAGGACGCTGTTGCTGCCGGGGGCAACGACGCCAGCAGCGGCGTTGGGGGAGCCAGTCTCGCGGCCACCGCCGATGGTGGAGGTGGCGATGGAAGGGAAGCCGCCACCGTTGGAGGTGAGGAAGGTGGTGGTGCGAGCCTCGGAGGTGCGGGAGCGCTCGGAGGTAGGAGCGGGAGTGGCACCGCCGCCGATGGTGGTGGTCAGCTGAGAGCTGGCAGTCAGGCGGGTGGCCAAGACAATGACGGTGTTGGCGGAGGAGGTAGCGGAGGAGGCGTAGGAAGTGGACTGGAAGCCGCACTGGCTCATGATGGAGTTGATACCTGTGGTGGGAAGAGTCAGTCTATGTGTGCAAGCCTGCGAAGATGTTCAAAATGCTCACCCTCAAGGCTGCGCTGCTGGTCGCTGGCAACCTTCTCGTTCATGCAAGAGGAGCACTGAGCAGCCAGGTTCTTGACATCGAAAGAGCTGTTGGTGCAGACGCACTGGGCGTCAAGCTCATCCTGAAGCTGGTCGCTGTTGTTGTTGGTCTGGCCGGGGATGAAGTTGACAGTGCAGATGTTGCCAAGGTCGCGGATGGGGCGGCAGATGGCAGTGCAGTCGGAGGGGATGTCGTTGGTGTTGAGGCGGAGGTCAGCGTTGACAACCGCGGCAATGGCGGAGAGGGCGACGATCTTGGCCTGCATTTTGAAGGTTGGGGGGTTGTTGTTGAGGTGAAGGGTGTTGAACAGGTTGGAAATGCTGAGCGAGCGTTGAAATGAGCCGAGGCTGCTAAGAATTGTAAAGGGCGAGAGACTAGCTGTCGAAGGCGAAGTGAAGCTGATGGTGCGTGATGAGGTGAGAGACAAGATGGGTAGAGACGGGATCGTGATAGGATATTTATGTTCTGGGTGTCAACAGTTCATGCCCTGCGTGAACGGTGCTCCTTCTGCTCCTCCTCTTCCCACACTGCAGGGCCGGAGATCCGCTTCGGCATCACACGGGAGGCCCCTAGGCGTCGAAACAGCCGGCAGCTTGTGCCATGACAAGACGAAGAGTGGCACTGATGGGGGAAGGAAGCAGACAGAGGTTCTCCGGTCACAGGCAGGGCTGTGGTAGTGGGCGTAGCCAAGCTGCATGGCAGAGGCCCCGAGCTGTCCAAGCCTCAGACCGAGAAGTCATTGACGCTATCGGGAACCCGAAGTGTTCAGCCAAAAGAGGAGCATAGTGTCTCGTTCCTGGGGCAGAGAAGTACCTCTTGCAGCGTTCTAGGCGCAGGGCGCAGTGCAGCACAGGACGGCCCAAGAGCATCTGCAGCTGTAGGCAGCGTCTTGTCGAAGCATAGCATCGTGAAACGTCTTTCTCGCTTGTCAACCGTGTCTGTCGCCTCTGTTCTCCACGTGAACCGACATGGACTAGTGCCTTTGCTCAAACCTTGTTGTTAGCGTGGCCCGGTAGTCTATCTTGAGTCCTCTAAGCTAAGGGACTTGAGGGTCCTCGCCAGCCATTTCTGGGAGAGCGAGGTACCATGCAGGGAGAGGAAGAATCAACGCACGGCGTGGTTTAGCAGAAGAGATTCTGCGGCGCATTGCCCTGATCCCAGTCCTGTCCTGCTCGTCCAGAGGCCTACCACGGCATGGTGCTGGGACTGATTGTTTGGTCTTCATCTTGAGGGCGACCGTCTGAGGTCCATGTTGAAATCCTCCATGGTAAAAAGGGATCAAGATAATTCAAGGGTTGAGCAATGCTCCGTTACCCTGGAGAAGGTATCCGACCAACAGGCACGGAGTACGTGGGTGGCCTTGGCCACGTCTAGTTCCGCATCCTGCCCCTAGAGCATACTTTATCGCTACAAGGTTGCGGGAAATGACGAGGGACAGCTGCCAGCGCTCAACTCTCTCCAGGGCCGCTCTCTCTCTTACTCCCTCCGGAGCTTCGGTCTGTTGTAGGAGCGAGGTTTGGGCCACCGCCCGCCCTCGGCATTACCCTGCTAAGCTCAGAGCCTCAGATACGCATGGCGCTGACTGTAGGACTTCCACTTGCCCACTTCCCCCCTCCCTCCGCAGCTCGCCTTAGTTCCAACCACCAGGTTCAGTCTGGACATCCGCGCCGCGGCTCTCAAGCCTCCCCATTGTCCCGACGATCTCCCCGTAGTAAGCCGCTGTCGAGTTTCACATGCCGCCGTAGCACCGGGCCGTGCGCGCGAGGACCATATTGCGGTCTGCTCTCTTCTCAACACTACACTGCGTTTCCCCAATTCATCCGTTGAATCTGCTTCTGTGCCACGCAGATATTGACCACTTCACGACCTGTGTCACACCGAGTTGCCGGCTTACCGTTGCTGATTTGGTGATTCAAGAGCTTTCTCCAGATCTGTGGCACCCGTTGAGGCGTAGCATGATTCAAGACGACTAACTGTCACGAGCTAGCCCGAGCCTCGACTGGCCCTGGGAAACAACAACAGTCTGTGCTACGCATTTCAGTGTGGCTCAATTACCCACTTGGCATTGCGAATTGTGGCGACACCTGTCCAGGGACAGACCCGTGAGTCACCGCAAAGCCGCAAGGCCACAGGAACTGCATCCTTTGACTGAGTAATCATCATATCTCTTTTTTGAATCGTGATCGCAGAATAAGAGTTGGGACTTCTCGTGTTCTCCAAGCTTCCCGCTGAGACTAAGACTAAGTCTTGGCCACGGAGAAACATGGCGGATGATTGCCTAGGCAACTCTTAATTAGTAGCGTCCGTCGTGAACGCCACCCTCAATGGACCAACCCCCAAGAAGCTTCGATTCAAGTTCTAGCCCGGCGCCACCAATTTGTCAAGACCTCGATTTAGCTGTGATAATTCGACCAGCCAAGATCCTGGCCGGGATCTAGTTCTCTCGTCCGTCCACCTCGGTTATCAAGAGACCGAGCAGCTTCTTAGCTGAAGACCTCTCAATGTTATTTGGATCCCGCCATTGTGTTCTCATCGGACACATGGGCAAAGTTGCAGTCTCCGAAAGACGGGTTCATGCCGTGAGTACTAAAATATTTGAAAGCTGGGGCCAGGGGCAGGCATGCATTAACGGCATTGATGGCGAGTTCGTCCAAGGTCCAACCATCACGTACCTTGTCGACGGGTAAATCCCTTCTGCCCCAAGCTTCCAGCCATCTCAACTCCCGCGACCAGGATTGCGGACAACGATGCAAGGGGTCGAAAGTCATTCCCACGCGCCTGGTTCTTCCGCCTTGCAGTGAAGCTTGCCAGGCGATCAAAACCCTGAGTCCGCATCAACATCTGCAGATGCTTCGCAAGCTGTGGCTGAGCATGTCATGATGTGCATGCTCGTGAGGGTTAAAAGCCCCAAACAGGAGGTTATGCAGGAGGCCGTTGTGCAGCACAAAACATCAACCGAAATCCAAGCATTGTGCCTCTGCAAGCTGTACCCCGCGTTTGAACCAGAGAGGGGCGACAAGGATGTGTTAAGCCGAGAAGTGTGTTTCTCGGGCCTCTCGTTTGTGGTATGAGAAAGCGAGCTGTTTTCCTGTTCGCTATGGTGCCTCACCAACGGGGTTGCAGAAACAGAACAGCAGCAGCAGCAGAAAGAGCTCGGCGCGCTCAGAGTTGGACCATGCACCATGTGCATCTCAGGGCCACAAGACTAGGGATGAAGACAAGGAAACATCCGGCCAAACCTCCAGAGTGCCAAGAAAAAACAGGTCCTGACGCACTTTCTGCAGGAACTCTTCACATCCGACAGCGATGAGATCGTCTTCTCTCTCATCGAAAGAAAACGCGCGAACTAGCGGCCCGTGCCCCCAACCAACCGTCTCCGGGAGGCCAACCTCTAGCGGCAAATCCTGCCAGGGGAACGAGGAGGGGGAAAGGTGTGGCTCGGTCTGCGCGCCGAGATTGCACGGCGTCGAAACATGTCAGGGCAGCCCGTGCTGTTGCTTCTGCAGTTTTAGCATCACATGCCTATTACCGGTTCCCCAAGAAGAATGTCATTGCGAATTTGTAGTGCACGGCGTATTTCCGGAGCGTAGGAGGAGAGGTCCGGTGATTTGCCTCCGGATTTTGATGGGGCTGGGTGCCGTGTAACTGAGGAATTACTTGCCATCTTCTGCTCATCTTGTTCTGCGCATGATCAAGTCAGCCGTTCTGCTGAAAGCAATACGTGTACATCGTCTTATGAGTATGACGGCAGGACCCCAGTGTCTTCGTTGAGGTGCGCATCACGCTGAAATCTTTTCTCTTCTCCTACATCACTACCAAGGGGCCAAGACCGATATGCAAAGGCAAGGCTTCGTCGCCGCTGCTGATCAAGAATCATCCAGTCTCGCCTCTCGCCTCTCGAGCAGCATCTCACGCAGCGAAGCACAGTAGAGCCTATTGACGTCACGAGCTCGCCTCTTGCGAAGGACGAGGCAGATGATGCAGTACATCATGCGCACTGCGGAAGGTTTGCTAAAGTATATGATGTATTTCTATGGTAAGCAATCAAGACCACGTGCAGATGCAGACGTATGATTTCCCCGTCGATGCGCACCATCTTTCGCCTCATTATCTGTCAATCCGACGCTGGAAATCCAATTTCTGCCAGGATACC